ATGCGGCTAATGCTACAGCTAACAGGAGGAGTGGGAGAAGCCGCGTTTCTGTGGACTTTGAATTTTTGCACATAGATGTGCCTAAACATGCACAGGACACTTGGAAAACACACTAAAGGGCATATAAAACCAGAAAAAGCATAATATGGGACCCTTTAAGTCACTAAGGACAAAAATGTCCACTTCCAAAAAACTGCTATAAAAATAGAAAGATTGACTTTTTTTTGCATAAATCTCTGAAACAACTTCAGCCCTGCTCAAAACTATCAATATTTAGTAATTATCAGGAATTTAACCCTTTAAATGCCAGAATCATGTAATCAAATGAGTTTTTTGGAAGTGGACATTTTTGTCCTTAGTGACTTAAGAGGGTCGTAAACATGTTTCACAGTGTTCTATTGATCTATTTAAAAAAATAAAATGTGCATTCCAAAATTTGTCAAGAGAGAGTCTTTCTTGTGTACCATATGCACTAACACAGACAAAATGATGGACAGATGAAACATTTGGAAATGGACAAAAATGTCCATAGTGACGCATGAGGGTTACATTTTTTATATCGTGGAGGATTGTGCAAAGACAGCGAGGCGGAAAACTTCAAACATTTTTCCAGAAAGTTCTGCAGATTTTAGCTTGAGAGTTTGTGGATTCTGTACCTGTGATGACACCTGTGGACAGGTAGATGTGGATGATGCTGGTGGAGAAAGAAGCCAGGATCATCCCCAGAGAGGCGAAGAGACCACCGACCATCATGACCGGGCGACAGCCGAACCGATTGACCAGCACGCTGCAGAGAGGACCTGCAGAGGGCGAGCACGGTTTGAATACACAGGGTTTGATCATACTCCACGTCCTGTAGGTTTTATATACCTGTGCCGTAGAGCATGGCGAGCAGGATGGAGGAGATCCACGCCGTGTCGCTGTACCCGACCCCGAACTCTCTGATCAGCTCTTTGAAGAACACGCTGACAGCTTTGGGGAAGGCGTACGAGAAACCCGTGATGACAAAACACCCGGCCAGCACCGCCCAGCCCCACCCGCCGTCTGGAGCCTTCACCGCCCCGTCACCCGAGTCCACCGCCACGCCTCCCATGATGCACTGCGGCTGAGTTTAACGGAGGCAGGCGGAGAAGCTGCAGGAGAAAGATTCATGACGACAAGCCGTTAAGAGTTTCTGTCGAAGTTCACCAGTAATTAGACCGATCCCAAATAACACAGTTAGTGAAAGTAGATTAGTGTTTTTAAATGATCTTTAATATAATTATAAAATATATCATTTTCACTTCCTGGATTGGAAACAGAGACTCCATCTGTGCGGCTTTATGTCCGATATTGATGACATAACCAGTGATCATTTAAAAAGTAGTTTGAAGGTGTGTGAGGAAGAAGCTTCAGGATGTAGATGCTTTGACTGATGAATTTCTGCTCTGTGACTCAGGACATGTTAAACTGTGTTTGTAATTACTCTGTGTTTTATGTCTGTAACTTTTTGTTGTGCTGCTGCCCCTCTTGGCCAGGACACTGTTGCCAATGAGATTCTTAATCTTAATGAGGTTCTCCTGATTAAATACATTTTAAATAATTTTTTTTTTTAAATATACCGTTGGGGAGATGGTGCCCCTTTAGGAAGGTTTCCTACTGTCATTACAGATGTTGCACATTTTGAGCCACTGCTGTGGTTTTTAAGTTCATCAGTCCTTGGGGGCCCCCCTACTGACCTGGGGCCCCAAGAAGTTTCCTGCATGGCCTGTTGACAAGCAGTGCCTCTAAACTGGTTTAAGGTTTCTTCTAGGGTCCAGACATGACGTGCAGCTCAACTGAATTATTTTTGTGATTTTCATTTAAAAAAAATGTTGAGTGCAGTGACTTTAGTTTTTATGTCAGATCTTTTTTTCCTGCAGTTTTTTAATTGAAATTTGTAATTGTAACTATAACAAAAAAGCACAAAATGTCCTCACAGTGTGTGTTTAAAAAAATACTTAAATTAAGGCATAACATTTTTCATAACTACAGATTTGATTTCATTTAAAGGCTCAGTCTGCAGAATCCAGATACTGAGTGTAACGTTTTCCTTCTCTACCAGCCAGCGTGGATCCAACATTAACTGTATCCCATCATGCTTTGTAACGGGCCTCCCTGATTCATAGCTCCGCTGCGTCTCTCTTTTACTCTCCCATTAACACTTCAACACAAGCAGAATCTATGTGTGTCTTTGTCTTCATGTGCAAAGCTGGTCGGGATGTTTTTATGTTGGACACTTTCTGTAATCGTTGAGTCAGATGAGACGTTTTTCTCTCTGCATCTAAGCAAAGCACTAAAAATACTCAGCGTCTGTTTGCTCCATCAGCTGATTTATAACCTGTAGAGGAGCTGAAGGGACAAGCTGTGTGGTAAAAAATGCAGACTGGGCTCAGGCCAAAAGAAAAAAAAAAAACTGCCAGGAATCCAGAGTCTCCGGGTAACACGACACTGACGTGACCCGCCTCAGAAAAAAAACAATCGACCACCAGAGCCGCCTGTGTTTGTGTGTTTGTCTCTGGGGAAATATGCTGCATTATTACACAGCCACACAGAAATATCCTGAAGTCATTGTGTGACTGTAACATCTGCTTTCATAACAAAACATGTCCTCTGAGTCTCCTTGAAGGACAGACTCTTAAAGTTACATCCTGTGCCTTAAAATCAGACTGACTGCTCATCAGCAAACATCCCAGGTATACGCTCTGTGACGTTTGAAAGCAGACAGCAGCGATCCAAAGTGCTCAAATGTTCTCAGAATTCACTGATGACATTTTAAAAGCATTGTTGAATTTTAAAAAAGAGAGAGGGGATTTCAGGGCACAATTTGTTGAATTAAGGAATCTAACTATGAGGGAGAATGATGCACATGCAAAAAGCGAACACAAGCTGCAGTTCCCCCAGTGTCCACTAGAGTCTGTCTCCTGCAGTGAGTCAGTCTCCATAGAGCTCTATGTTAAAATAAACATGTTTACATCCTGGTACAAAAACAGTTTGAGTCTCTAGAGCTCATTTCTCTCTTCAACTGTACGGGCTGAATGTTTATACAACTCACCTGTTTACATTATATTAAGGTTTAAAGGGATGCAGAATTAGGGGGCGTGGCCTCTTTGAGTGACAGGTGGGAGCTGCTAGCTGTCTGCTAGTTGTCCCCTCAGCTCATTCAGTCCCTGACCTTTAACCTCTGGGCAGTGTTTGTGGTTTTGTGTCAGTTAAAGGAGTAGTATGTAACTCTGACCGGTGCCTAATGTACGTAGGCTATAGTCCTCCGGCCCGGGTTTGAGTCTGATCTGACGCTCTTTTTCTGCATGTTATTCCACCCTGTCTCTCTCTCTCTCTCTCTCTCTCTCTCTGATTCCTGACTCCACTTTCCTCTCTTGAAATTTAAAACAGTCTGTTGGATTCATGTATTTAAAAAAACAGTTATTTAATATTGTGCCAACAAACTGTGAAGTAATGATGCAGCTGAGCGTATACAATAAAGAGTGTTATCTTTTAAATAATATTATAGAAATAAGTTTTATTTAATCTTTTGCATTAAAATGTGTTGGAATTATTTCCCACTTCATCGTTCATGTCTAAATAGAGAAAACTGATCATGAGTAAATAATTGACAGTAAAAGGTTTGAATACTCAAACATGCAGTCCTAGCTTGTTCCATGTTAAACACACACACACACACACACACACACACACACACACACACACACACACACACACACACACACACACACACACACACACACACACACACACACACACACACACACACACACACACACACACACACACACACACTCAGACTTCACCTGCTCTTGTCGGGTCACCTCTTCACACCTTCTGTCACGACGTGGACGTCACGCTGGATCCATCGTGGGAGCAAAAACGCGCATTAAAAACTACAAATCCCGCGATATGACATCAGGAGGTCCCACTTCTTAGATATGGATGTGACACGCGCTCTCCTGGTTTATTCTCATCAGTCTCACCTGTGAGCAAAAGAGGAGCAGTGATGTCAGCAGCTAGAACAGCACGCGCTGACAAACTGTTGAGTGTCTTCCCGGTGATGCTGCTGATCCGTCTCCTCCTCCTCCGTCTCCTCCTCCAGCTCCTCCTCCTCCTGCCTCAGCACCGGAGCGTTCCTGCCCGCACGTCTGCCTGCAGACCGCCAGTAGGGCACAGAGAGCACAGGCTGCAGGGTCCTAATGCCCCCAATTTACTGACCACAATCCGCAGAACAGTGAGGGGGAGCAACGACCTGCATTCTTTCTTATGTCCAGCAGGGGGCGACTCCATTGGTTACAAAAAGAAGTGAAAATGTCCCTACTGATCAGATAATTTATTTCCTCAGTAAACATTTTCCTGATTAGTTGAAGGTCTCAATCAGGACTTCCCCTGAAATCCTACTGATCTGGTTGTTCACACATGCACCTCACAGCAGGAGACTTTGAAAACTTCAGGAGTTTTCTGCAAGCATGAAAGCAGAAGAGGAATGAGGGCGGGGCTCCCTGTGATTGACAAGTCACTACCTCAATAATTAACCTTTTAACCAGAGTAAAGCTGAGCAACATGCATCTACCATGTCACCAAATATGGCCACTTTTGGCTCCACAATGTCAAGATGGTAGAAAACCACACTTCTTATAATCGTTTTATAATCTCCTGTGATGTAACATTGTCCATCAGAAGCTGTGTCATAGGAGGGGGAGAAGGGGCAGGAGGGGGGGGGTGTAATGAACTCCTGTGATGTAAAATCATTGATCAGAAGATGTTAAAGGAGGAGGAGGGTGGTGTGTTTCCTGTGAATCTTCGCCTGACAGTGTTCATAATGAGTGTATAAATAAACTCCTGTCCTGTGGTTACTGAGGGGAGGAGTCTGAGGTTCTCTGACGTCGACTGTCCCCGTGCTGCCTCGTACGCAGGTGTTACATCCTGGACATATTCTACAGATTCTCTAGTTTAGTCTAAAGAAATTAACCATCATGTAAAATCTTCTTCTGTCCTCTGTGGTTGCTCAGTTTGTCACTGTGCATGTCCATCCCTCTGCACAGCCTGCAGGCTGGAACAGTTGTGTAACTGTCCTCAACGAGCAGCAGCATGCAGGTGCTCAGGTTGACCCACAGCGCCCCCCAGTGGTCAGACTGTGTCACTGCTGTAAGGAAAAAAGTTCATCCAGCATTTTGCAGCCAGAAACTTGATGAACTTCAGACTTTACTAAATACTAAAGCTGAGTAAGAATGTTTATCAAAGAAGGGATTGTACAATTTATATTTTCATCAGCTTTGAATTATAATTTAAAGGTCACATATTCTCTCTTGTTCCTTTTACCTCGGATGTTTGATGTGGGAGCTTGGAATGAGGTCACATCCGAGTCGAGCACCTTCGAGGTTGTTAAAGCAACATGGACGCCTCCAGGAAGTAGAAAAACTACAGAACTCAAACCCCCCCCCAAAAAAAGGCAACACATACAAGTACTTATTAATTTATTTACAGTTTTAAAATACACAAATACAGTGGCATTACAAATAAGGAGCAATAGTTTCAAGGAGGGAGAGGAAAGAAAAGACTTCCCATGAATCCAAAGTGAGAGATGCATTGTGGGACACAAGCGGACATCTCCACTGCACAGTTAAAAAAAAGAAAGAAAAAAAAAACAGGAACAGGAAGTGAAGAAAAACAAAACAAATGAAGAACTGAAGAGAAGCAGTTAGAAGGTCGTCTCTCCGTGTGAAGTGAACTCGCATTAATCATCAGTGACAAACAGTTAATCCATCGCGTCTTCAAGCCCACAGGTGAAGAAGAATACAAATAAACAAAACAGAGTGAGGCGTTCCCAGTCCCCCCCCCTCCCTCCCCCACACACTGTCATTGTCATCCTGTTAAAGATAGCAGGCACATCCTATACACAACAAGAGAACAAACATGTACAAGTTACCACTACAGACCCCTCCCACTTTTTACTTTAACTACAGAAAAACGGAGTTAGCAAACCAGCCTACCACAAAGATCTACGTCCAAAACCTGCAGGGTTCAGCAGTCAGCTCGGCCACCGAGGGACGCGAGTAGCCTCCGATCAGACCTCCTTTATTAAGACGACACTCAAGACTGTAAGACTCCAAAAAACTTCCTCAAACACACCTGTCCCCCCTTCCACCTGGACTCAGTCTGCAACGACGGACAAAGAAAAGGTGAGTATGTGAATGTGAACTAAACTGGAGCAGGGATCAAAACAATGAGTTCACGACCTAAGCAGTTAATTATTCGGGGGGGGGGGGGGGCAGACGTCAGTGAGGTCCAGGTAGAAGAAGTGTCAGTAAGTCTGAGCCCGACATGAGAGCCGGGAGTCGGATGGTCTGGAGTGAGATTTGGGAGGCAAAAGAGTTAAAAGAAAACTTTTAAAAAACAAAATTCTCCTGAACATGTTCACCCACTCACCCGCCCGCCCCCCCCCCCCCCCCAAGCCTACGACAGAACCACACAAACACGCACACAAAAGCCACGTCACTAAGCACCGATTCAAAAACAACATCTCATCCATTCAGTGCGACACATCGACCCCCGAAAAGTATTTCACTGTTTTCCATTTACAGCTTTTCCCAAAGCAGCACGCGGCAGCCACAGAAAGAAAAACCTGCTGTTGGATGGACTACGGCATCCTGAGGAGGACAAAAAGAATCTCGTTCTGTGGGAGCTTTTTAAAAAGACATTTTGTCCCATTTTTAAAAACAACCAGGTTATCCTAGCTTCACATTTGAACCTACAAACAAAGAGCTGTGGCGACTCTCAGGACACAAAACAGGACCCTCAGGCCTCGTCCTCAGACACGCCCATCACGCGTCTTCATGCTCTCATTGTTAAAAATAAAAAAACGTCCCACACACGTTTTCCCATCAGCTGACTCTCCAATCTCCTGTGAAGAACGACCAGAGGAGCGTTAATGCTAAAGAACTAAAATAAGTAAAATCAAAGTAAAAAAAAAGAAAAGAAAAAGACGCCAGAGGATCCATGGCTTCATCAACATTAAAGAAGAGGAGGAGGAGGGGGGAGTGTTTCTTCCACGGGGGGCGAGGGGGTAGGAAGGAGGGAGGATGTGGCTGCTACTTTGCCGACGTTGTTAAGGCAACCAGAGTGTGCTCCACCCGCCCGTCTCTCTCTCTCTCTCTCTCTCTCTCTCTCTGTCACACAGACACACACACACTCCGCTGTGAAGGGAACGAGAGCGCAGCCGAACTCTCGTGCATCAGTTGGTGGTCGTCCTCTGTGTGTGTGTGTGTGTGTCTGAGTGTGAGTGTGTGTGTGTGTGTGTGTGTGCTGCAGGTGGTGCGTGTTGAGGCCTCCATGGTGCACAGGTGAAGAAAGGGGGAGGGGTTTCACCGTGGAGCCGCAGACTGGAGGCCGCTCGGTGTGACCCGGGACAGAGCCTGCAGAGGAGGAAATAAAGAATAAAGTTCAGACTGTGAGCTGATGTGAGAACACAGCAGGATATAATCAGGAGAATTCACCTGGAGCCAGTGGGAGGGGGTGGTGACCTTTATTCCCTGTGATCACTGCACGACCATAGACTGTCTGCACGCCACCTCTACCATCTCTGTGCTCTAATCAACCTGCTGCTGCATGTTTCCTGTTCTCCAGTATGTTCTTCACATTGAGATTCTCTTCAACTACACATAGCATTGATACAAAGACTTAAATATTCTCATTAAAAGGTGTCATCCTGCACCTGTGACAGGCGGATTAAAAAAAAAAATTGACCGGTCACTGTTATTTTAACAAGCCACTTAATTTTAACCGGCAGCATAATGTAAGAATGTGTAATATCAAATCAAGGCTCACTGTCTCCCTCATAAACAGAAAATAACATTTATTTTAGTTGATTATTTTGAGGCTGTTGAGAGTTTCCTCAAAGACAAACTTGTATTTTTTAGACTTGGTCTGCGTGCGTTACCCTCTCTGACCTCACGGGGGAGCATCACGTCTACAAGCAGGAGGAGAACAAAGGACTTAATGAAGCCTTTAAAGAGCAGACAGCTGCAGGGCAGAGCTCAAACCCTCCCTGATCTTTAGCTTTGTTTACAAGAAGGCAACAGCGGTTTTATTTATGACTGTACCTTTAAAATATTTCACATTTCATCGACACAATACTCAGATCGATTTAATATCAGAACCTGATGATTATTAGACTTTAAACTGTTTGATGTTTTTGCCTTTGTGAAGCACTTCTCACTCTGGTTTAGTCACATGCTCGATAAATAAATAAATAAAGGGGATTCTTATTCCTATTACCCTCATAACTTCTACTCTTACAGAACGACTCCTGCTCTTCGGTTGCTTCATGTCAGCGAGAAAAACGGAACAAGGAAACATTTGGCAGGAGAAAGAGGAAGTGATTTGTCCTTTGGGCAGCCTGGATCTGAATGTACTGTGATGCATTTCCTCTTTAAAAAGGAACATTTGAAGACAACAGAGCACGGATGATTTACTCATAGCTCAATTTTAAGTCTGTTTTTATATTCTTAGGCGCCTTTTATGTTTTGTTTTATTGACTTTTATGTGTTTGTATGTCTGCTGTTTTACCCCCACTGAGCAGGACTTTTGGTAAACGGTGTCGTTATTTAAAATGTACGATATAAAAAAAAGTGGACGGGACGGTAGACCAGCTGAACTTACATCCTCGATAACAACAAAGAAACACAAATAACTGCACTGACGAGGTCCTCAAGCTGTCTGTGTGTCATTGTTTTATGTTTTTATTGTGAATTTCCACCAAGAGCATGATGGGAAATAATGTAAACATTAATCTAATTGTAGTTTTGTAAATGCTGACTGTGCAGGATACCAGGAGTGTTTGCAGAATCTTACAGTCGATGACTCAAATGTCTCAGGATGTCAGAGTACACAGTGTGTGTGTGTGTGTGTGTGTGTGTGTGTGTGTGTGTGTGTGTGTGTGTGTGTGTGTGTGTACCTGTGAGGACATGCGGGAGTCCTGTCGTCCCGTCAGGTCTGAGGAGGAGATGTTGACCGGTGCTCCACGATGAAGACGCATGCTCACCTTCCTCTCCTTCTCCAAACCTGAGAGAAAAAAAAAGGAGGTTAACATGATTACCTCAAAGCGCAGATAAGTGGGTTCAGGTCCTTTTGTATTACGCAGAGGGCGACGACGAGCAGGTTTCAATCCTCAACACGCTGAAAAATGTCACTTTTACGGTTGTTTAAAAAAAACAGAGGAAGACCAATCACAGCCTAGCTTTTTGTCGTCACAAAGCCTGCAGCTTTTTAATATCTGCTCCCGCCGTGATCCATTCATCCACCCTTCCACAGATTTAAATAAAACTCAGTGCTGTAGAAGACGCACTCTTAATGCCCTTTTTTCATCTAAAAAGTTGGCTGCATTTAACTCACCGGTGCAACCGATATAAAATGCTGACACACGGATCATCATGACCACGAGTGTAGCTGCCACCATCACACACTGGAAGCGAACAGATGCGATTGAAATTTTTCCTCCCTTCTCTGACAACAATGCAGCAGCCAGTATGTCCTCCTTCTAACTTTAGATTCTGGTCCTGAATGCTCTGGATTTGTTTGGACCAGAGAAGGTAGGCGCTTTTAAGAGTCCACCACATGGCAATCTGTGTGAGCATCGACTCTAGAGAGGAGGGGGGGGGAAGAGACAGCTCTCTACGATGTTTAGAATTTAGACTGCAGTACCCATTTTAGACACTAGGTGTCAGAGTTACATACTGCTCCTTTAATGAAAGAAAACATTATGGGCAGAATTTAACTCCACACAGCCATATTAATTCTAAACAAGGTCAATCAAATCTCAGCCTCCAATAAATTGAACAATAGAGGCTAACTGGTATGAATGAACACATGACTACATCAACAGCATTCAAACATACCAAACGTACCAGTAGTGTCTTTTTGGTGAAGTTTTGAGGTTTGTAGCCGACTCCTCTTCCTTCTGTTTCTGAGTGTTTGCTGAGATGCAGAGAGAGACTCTGCAGGAGCTGCTACTTTGTAAATTAGTTGCTGTTTCACTGAGAGCTGCTTTGCGGCTCTTCCTCGAGCCGCAATCGCAGTGGCACCACAGCCGTCTGACTGCCTGCTGCCCCTGCTGGATAGGGGTTGCAAAGTTTCAGCCTCGCTTTTCTCCTTAATGTTAGTTTTTTTTCCCCCCCCAGAGGAATTAGTTTTCCTAAGTTTTGACAAAACAGTGTGTATGCTCGGGAATGTTGGGAATGCTCTCCAGTCACTCCTGATCAGGACTGTTCGAAGGCATCTCGAGTTACTGGCAGATATTTGATAGGCCACGCCCACTTTCATCAATCAACATGACACTTTGAAAGATTTTATAAACACTCATCCCCCGAGCATGCACACCAGTTTTGGTGAAAATCTGACTACCCATTTTTGGAGAACACATTTTGGTGTTTTATGTGCCCTCTATGGTTCATGCTTTGTTAGGGGGCACCGGTGACCTAGTGGTTAGTGCAAGCACCCCATGTGCGGAGGCTGTAGTGCTCCAGACGGGCGGCCCAGGTTCGACCTATAGCTATAGCTCCTTCTGCATGTCATCCCTGCTCTGTCTCTCAAACTTTATGGTCATTCTCTCTGATAAGCTCCGCCCCTTCCAAAGTGTATCGATCACTTGAAAACTAAACAAGACATCAACTACATCTCAACAACTATTAAATGAGCTTCATCCAATGAGCAACCACATCAAAGTCAAAGTCAAAATGTGATTTACATAAAATCCAAAATGGTGGAAGATCCATCATGGCAGACTTTGATGGTCAAAGAGGCTTTTTTGTAGACTAACATGAGCTGGACCTTTGTGTCAAATTAAAAAAATTGGATGCAATTGAGAGTATGAGGGGCGTGGCCTTTCAAAAATCGATCTTTTACTTAATTGCAGCGCCACCATCTGGCCCATTGGGTTCATATTTCTTCACATCATTTACAGTCGCTGTGCAAAGTTTCATGTTTCTACGTCGCTCCATCTCACTTGAATTTGAGCCGCGGCATTAAACAAATATTAATAATTTCACACAAAGACAACAGAGTTCTTTCCCTTCAAAATCTGAAGAGGAAGAAAAAAAGCCACGTCGACGATAACGGACCAATCGGGAGCTTTTCTCATTCTGCAGGTATGCCTTAAATCTTGTGGAAGAGAGAGACATAACGGCGTCCAGCTGATGGATTACATCAATACGAGCACAGGATAACTTGTGTCTGTGTGCTGACCTGTGTGTGAGGCAGGGTTGAGGGGGGAGGGGGCTGCAACTTCCTGAGTGGCTCTTGCTCTCCCTGAGGCCGAAGCCATGCCCCGAGCCGCGGGATTCCTGCCGTGCCTCAGCCTCTCCTCTCGCTCACGACGCTCCCGCTCGGCGTCCTCCACGGCCCTGTTGGCGCCCTGAAAAACATGAACACACGGTTAGAAGATTGTCTCTCAGGAACATGTGAGCAGCAGTTGATGTAAGAAAGTTTCTGTTCCAGCTGCAGATTTAAAGAATTAAATCCTCCAGATCTAGTTTGAGACTGTTCATTCTTTTTTTTCAAGCTGAATCTTGAAGTAAATCTCTTCAAAGTGACGACATAACTCACAAATTTGAGCATGTTCCAGTCGAACACGTAGTCGTAGGAGAAGCCCTGTCGGTGGAAGAGGTTCCTGAAGAGCTGACGGAGGTACGAGTAGTCAGGTTTGTCGTCGAACCGCAGAGAGCGACAGAAGTTCAGGTAGGTGGCAAACTCCGCTGTGAGGACACGAGGAGGACAGACGTTTACAAAAAACACTCTCTGCAGCTTTGTAACTCTCACAGATAAAGAGATTCTGTCATTTAGAGAAGAACATTACAGATCAACTGGAAGAGGTTAAACGTACATGGGTAGCCTTTGCAGAGGACCTCGATGGGCGTGGACATTTTCTTCTCACTGATGCGTTCGTATTTCTGCCTCTTGGTGGCGGCTTTGAGGCCTTGCCAGGGCAGAGAGCCGAGGTTGAAGTACATGAGGACGTAACCCAGAGACTCCAGGTCGTCTCGTCTGGACTGCTCTGTAGAGAGAGAGAGAGAGAGCGAGAGAGAGAGAGTCAGACCACAGGAGGATGGAGGCGGGGTTTATCTGTTTCACCAAAAAGATTTTTGAGGGTCTTACCGATGCCCAGATGTGTGTTTATGGAGGCGTAGCGGGCGGTGCCGGTCAGGTTCTTGTTCTCGCGGTACGGGATGTGCTGATGCGTTCGGGCGTCGCGGTATTTCTTGGCGAGGCCGAAGTCGATGATGTAAACCAGGTTGCCCTTCTTGCCGAGCCCCATGAGGAAGTTGTCGGGCTTCACGTCTCTGTGGATGAAGTTCTTGGAGTGGATGTATTCAATACGGCTGATCTGTGAGCAAAGGACGCGACAGGTTGTTCATTCAGCATTATTAGACAAACATGGAGACATTGGAACATACACAAAGAGGCTAACATTTTTTGCATGTATGCATTCTCTTTTTCCCCTCTCCCTTGGAGGAGGCATAACACATTACTTGTTTGATACAGATTACCAACAAAAAATAAGACACAATCAACAAGGGTCTGTGGAGTAACGGGTTTCCCCTCCTCACCATCTGGTCGGCGAGCAGCAGCACCGTCTTCAGGCTGAACTTGCGCGAGCAGAAGTTGAACAGATCCTCCAGACTCGGGCCCAGCAGCTCCATCACCATCACGTTGTAGTCGCCCTCCGCCCCGCACCACTTTATCGTAGGAATGCCCACTGCACGAGAGGAGAGTGGGGAGCGTTTATATTTAGTACGTCCCAAAATAAAATAAAAAAGCATAGCAAACAGCTGCAATTCATGAATTTCCTCAAAGGCTTCAAACTCAGGAGTAATAAAAAGAAAAAAAAACTGAAATCTGAATCGACTCCAAACGCTGCAGGAGAACAGCTGATGGGGTTCCCTAATTTAACTTCTCAGTTATTATAAAACATGTTATGATTGGTAGATATGAGTTAGCAACATTAGCTCTGTCAGTGTTTTTCTGGCTCAAACTGAAGATGTGCAAAATGTTTGACATAAAGCGTTAAAGACCGACCTTTGTTGAATCTCTAAAATGTGAACATGTGATTTAATTAAAGATGAAATCCTCACGTTATAAACTTTGTTAAGCTATGAAGAAAAGTGTGTGTAGTGACACAGACTTAGTATCAATCCTAGAACACGTTTGTCTACTTAAAGTGTGCAGCTGAATTACTGAAGAGAAAATTCTGCTTCATAATTTAGAGAAGTTGGCTGATGTGTCTCGTTTATTCTTGTGCAACTCTTCTGCAGAGAACAGAAATGGCGCTGTCCTGCACGGTGTCTATGCACCCTCCACATACAGACACACATGCACACACACAGGGGGGAGGGTGTGAAGGCAGAGGCCAGCTGGTTTAGTAGTAGCTGGTAATTGGCTGACACTGCCGAGGCGAAGAAGCCATCTGGCATTTCCTTCTACAGGCAGACAGCGACAAAAAGCTGCTGCTCAGCGCTGCTCAGCACCTCTCTCTCTCTCTGCATCAGCTATTTATATACGTACAAACGCAAATACATCCCACAGTCTGGGTCAGTCACTGTGCCCTAATAAATCCTCCATGCTGGAACAAAAATACAAACGCATGTGTGTGCACAGTCGTGCTGACAGAGACTAACCGTCTCCTGCACACGCTCAGTGCGCTCCACAGTCGGCTTTAAATCAGACCTCACTATGTAAGGTCAGAAATTATTCACCAGCACGGGAAGGGAAACAAGTTCAAATCTTAGTTAAATGTGTTTTCAGTTTTATCAACTCTGTGCACAAACTACTGAGCGTCTTGTTTTAGGGCCCTACAGCGACGCTAACCTCCAGACGCCACAGACACGCTCAGGGTGACAGGTTCTCTCTCATGTCTCCCGTGTTTGAAGCCTGTGGGCATGTTCACAGTTCAGCATGCCATCTACAGACTCAGCTCTGTCTGGGAAGTTTCTTTAAATGGTAAATGGACTGGACTGTAACGCATTTTTCTAGTCTTCTGACCATTCAAAGCGCTTTTTTACACCGCATGCAAAGTCACCATCAGAAGTAACTAATCTCATTCATACACCACTGACGAGGGAGCAATTCTGGGTTAAGCGTCTTGCCCAAGGACACATCGGACATGTTGGTGCAGGAGCTGGGGATCGAACCCCCAACCTTCCGGTTGAGAGACGACCGACTCTACCAACTGAGCCACAGCCGCCCAAAGCATGATCTGAAGCATGAGCTGTGATACTTTTTCAGGGACTCCTTAAATCTGTGACCCGTTCAATTTTTGGGGATTATGACTAAAAGCCTTCAAGAAGACCTCCTTGAAAATCACCTCAGAGCCTGAACACCAGATGACCTCCTTCAGCGCTAGTTAGACTTCATAACCTGCAACATAATGTAGGAATTCAGTTTGACGCAACTGTCATTAAGTGTGTTGCTATGATTCCTCATCAAAGACATCATGCATTTGTTGACCTAAAGAAGGGGATCAGAGGTCAAATCCCAGCCACTTTATAAACTGCTTCTTAAGCCTGCTCAGAGGGGTCACTGGAGTCCTGACTGTAGATGACTCGGCATGAACAAAACCTCTCACACCGATTTAACACACGTTTCCATGTAAATGAGTGACTAAAGTACCTCCGCCCTGCATCATCTTGTAGATTTTGCTCTCTATGTGGAGCTGTGGGTGTTTGGTCTTCACACATTCCAACTTGATGGCGACCTCCTCGGCGACCGAGATGTCAGTACCTGCAGGGAGGGAGGGAGGGAGAGAGAGAGAGAGAGAGAGATGAGCTGCATGGAAACACGTCACAGACACGTTCACTTTAATCCAGTGACCTTTACATCTTGTTCGCTAAACTGTAAACACCAATGACACAGGAAAAAAGAACAACACAAGATATCTGAGAATATAAAATAAAATATAAAAATGGCAGAACTCACAATTCCATCTGGATTTACATTTTTGAGCATTTAGCATTTAAAGAAGCAAAACAACAATACACAAACATGTTTTTTTTATATTTCTGACACGATTTAAATACATTTTTAAAAATGTAATTTTTATTACAGTTTGTTGTCGGACATTTCTTTCAGCTGAGGTTTTACAGATTAAAAGGGATTTTAAGCATCTTAAAGATTCTCCCACAAACTGTTAGCAGAAATACAAATGTTTGCACTGAGGCTGGACCCAAATATTCATTCGTCGGGTAGGCAATCAATTTTGGGATTTGAGTATTTGTGTCTTGTTTCTTTTTCTTTTGTGTACCTGATATTCCTATCCTCACAGCGGTCAGTAAACGTCACACTTCAGTTCACCTTGGTCGTTAAAGGGAAGACAAAATGCCGAAGACTTCAGCTGTGTGGGATCACTTTAAATTAAGTGAAGACAAAGGCAGTGTGCCAAAGATGTAGTTTGAAACTGGCCTACCATGGTGGCACAACATGCGCGAAAAGTCACCTGAATGCTGGAAGTAGTTTGCTATATTTTGTAAAAAAAAACTGAGACCATACTAGCTAGCAAACTTAGCTTAGCCTTAAACTTTGCTTGGAAAAGACTTATTGAGCCGCGTATGTGTGACGTAGTATGATGTCTACAGAGTCAGAGGAACATATCCTCACAGGACAAAGTCCAACACGGCCTTCCATCACGCTTTATTGGCGTCCGTCAAGCAGATATGAAGATAACAAATAGTTTGCATGGTAAACAGGGTGTTAGTGACAGTTGAGGATATTTAAATTAGTCGTGCGGTCGCCTGGGTACACACAGACGTATCAGTGGTTACACAGCACAGCCGGCCAGAGTGGAAGAGAAACCAGCAGGTTGCACTGAATGTACCCGGCTCCTCTCTCAGGTGTCTGCTTTAATGTGTGGTCCAAATTCCTCACAGCGATCAGAACATTTTTTAATCACCCTCTAACTGATCTGAGAACAGTCTCTGTGAGGTCTGAATAACCTGGCGTACAGCTGCTTTCCTCCTGAATACCATCACGGGGTCCAGTTCCCTGCACATAATCACAGCAACTCTACACCGGGTTACGTAATCCAATTTCTCTCACACGTGTTTCAGCTCAATCTCAGGCTAAGAGCAGCGCTGATGGAGCTTCATTGATTTCTCTGAATGATGTCATGAGGGCGGGCGGGGCCGCTCTCAGCAGGGCGCAGCACACATGACTCATGGTAAAGCTGAAATGTTGTAAAATTTAAAAAACAAGATCTGTTAAATATCGCTGCAGAGAAGTCTGAGTGTTTGTGACAGCTGCAGGACATTAACGTCTCAGCGTGGACTGAGTCCTTCTCCTGCAGGTCAGTTATTCACATTGATCTGCCTCTCAATGGTCACTAAAATCTATATCAGCCTAGAGACTTTAAAGGGTCAGTTCACCCAAATTCTCATCGTTGACCTTCATCTTATCAGGGACTGCATTTAGGTCCTCCACAGAGGTGAGAGAAGAGCTCTTAAAATACTGAATGCCTTCGATGAGGGTGACAGGCGGTTTCCACAGGATCCATGTGCACAGCCTTTTGTCTCCGCCTTGGTTTTGCTCCGTTGGACAGCACGCACCCTAAACCACTGGGTCTGTTCCTGAAGTGTTAGCGCAGCCGAGTGCAGGAATGAGCAGTTGGACTCACAGGAGAACTACAAGATCACAGGAGAACTACAAGAGGACCTTTGCACTCTGCAGTAGATGTTGTTCAGCAGTGGTCATTGCTTATTATGACGTCATTCTTTTGAGTTCTTTAACAACGCCATGAATCCATGCACGCTAAACGAGTGGATGAACGATGATGACTAAAATTGTGTCACAGGTAAACGAGGGCTGCTCTACTTTAGTTTCAGCACAAAACCTCAGAATAAAGGTGCACCGATAGATCGGCATGTGGCCGGTTTTCAGCCTGCTCGGCCCTGACCGGTAACCAGCCCATCCTCACAAGTATAGCTGATTTGGTGCTGATCTCAGACTCACACACGAGAGTCGTTTAAGGCCGAGCCGCTAATGGACGTCCACACACACACACAACAAGCTAACATGCCGTCCAGAAATAGGTATCGGAAGGTAAAAATTGGAACTGGATTCGGCCAGAAAAATAGCAATCGATGCACCTCTACCTCAGAACAGATATTAAGAGTTTCAAGGGGGTACTGTGACCTGTTTCTTTATGAAGCTTTGTGCCGGGTCAAATCAATCAATCTATCAATAAACGGATCGATCAGTGACCACAGAGAAAAGGCTCTTCATAGTGAGAGCAGCTCGGTTCATTTTGCTTTGTTGCATCACAGGAATGTGATTTGTCTGGACAGATTTCTCCGGGGAATGCGGAGATCTTTCCACAGTAGAAAAAAAGTGTGCGTGTGTTTTTTATCAGGACGGGTTAGTGAAGAAACATGTTCAGACACGTCGCTCTGCACAGGTACACAAACAGCAACGACTAACCCTTAAACACTGAGTGACTTCATGAATTTGTGTTTCGTCGGACAGAAATCTGCTCTCTGACGAGTCTAAATGCACCTCTCATATTGGGGAGAAGAGAGAGTGGTGAACCAGCAGATGCAACATGTTGCACTGAGAATAATTAAGTTAAGTCTGTAAGCTCTCATTGAAGCTGCAGAGCCTTTGGTTAAAGACCAGGACCACATCAAACCCGGCTTGGTAGGATGCGTTTCTGCCACACGTCACTGACCCTGAAATGTGTCATCACTGCAGAATGCGTCGAGCTGCTTTGAAGCTGCAGGGCAAAACAACTCAGGTGAGATTTCTCAACCTAAAGTTTCTGAGAAGTTTCAGCCTTTGGTGACGTCAACAAAACCGCCAATAACACAAGAGCTTTTCACACAATCGAATAAAACCACAACGTTTCACAAGCAGAGGAGAGTCATGAGTTTGTAAAGTGAGTCACAGGCAGCGTCCAGTTTGAGCACGTCTCAAGTTCTGTTGTTGTAATAGCTCAAACACCGGCTCTCTGTTAACCCTGCTTATGTAACCCGACCCATCCCTGTTAGCATACACTGCTGGAACCATTTCAGTTTACTCACATCACGAGCCAAGTCAGAGTTACATAAGGCCGTCAAACAGGTAACACGCCGAGGATGGAACATTTGACACACGCTGTTTTTCTTATCAGAGGTTTTGAAGAAAGGTGCTGCAGAGTTTAATCAGACGGTTTTATCCATCAACAAAGATAAGACTGAAGAGTAGTTTTATTCTACGCGTGTGATCTGTCAGGAGGGTGCAGTGCGACATCAGAAGGGTCGTCTTGAAGCTACGATGTAAATCTTCAAACATCAAGCTCAAAATCAAACGATAAGACTCCCAATATTAGGTCAATTCTTGTCTTAAAGCTCAAAACTTACAGGCACAATATTTTGCATTTTGGGTACATTATGTATATATAGATTTTGTTCTTTTTTTTCTGTTTGTTTGTAGAGTGGGGTACTGTTCTTCTTTGTTAACCTTTTGAATGTTCTATGTCTTCTGAAAAAGCTATAAATAAAGTATTTAAAAAAACAACAAGTTGCAGGCACAACGTCTAAATTTCCCAAAAACATTTCAGTTCAGAAGTGTTGCCAATGTATTTGCACAGATATTTGCAGATTGCCTGCAATTTTTGATGCCTTTCTCTCCAATACACATGTCTAATGATGAGATATATTTACTTCAATAAAATTGAAACTTTAAAAAAAGCTGATCTGGGCAGAGAGCAGGACGGTGATATTGTGAAAGGCCAGCAGAAAATAGCTGCAAATGTATTATCAGGGCGCACTCACACAAGGCAATCTGTACCGTAGCACGCTTAACGTAAAGCCATGCATGTGTCGTATTACGACCTTATGAGCAGGGTTTTTCCTGGCTCAGAACGGGCCTGTGGGGGGTGACTATACGCGCTGTAGTAAACGTTCGACCCGCGTATAACAGTATAGTCTACGAGTCTGTATTACCTTATTTGACAGAAATCTGTGCACTTCCTGTTCTTTCCCATTTATTTTTATCATTTTATAAATAATATTATCATTATGCTTAAGTTACTGAAACCCTAATTAAATCTGGTAAAGATTTTTTTTTATTGCAACAGTCAAGCATGGGAGGAGAGGGATTTTGAGGGAGAGGGGAGGTCACGCTGCTCTTTTCCTTTAAATTGTGTTTTTGTTTTACATACACATTTGTTTAAGTACATTTATTTGAGTTACTAAGGTATTATGTCAAATAATCACAGATTTAAGTCACAGATAATTTGGATCATTTGATCAGATCAGGAAATTGTAGCCATGTATGTTCGTGTGTCACGTCTCGGCGTGCCCCCGCGATGACCCGTCTGCAGACAGCAGAGGAGCAGGGACAAGTAGCTGCAGCTACATCATATGTGGTTTAGTATAGTTTTAACATGACTGTTGGGATAAATATTTACCGCCATTAAGTGGATTGCTCTTTGAAATTAACTCGCCAAACGGAAAATAAACCCTCATTTAGCGCTTGTGGGTGTCAGCGGAGCGTCCGGAACCAAAAGAAACGAACAGTCAATCAGCTGGCTATCCAGCGTGAGCCACATTCGTAAACAGATGAGAGGGGAGATGACTGTTAGAAGTCAGAGACGTCGTATTCAAGTTTATGTTCTGCTTGTTCAACAGTCGTTTGATGTATTGATGTTTTTAACATACATTCAGAGAGGATTTGATTTGCAATTTGAATCATCTTCTTTTTCTTTTGGCTCTTGTGATTTTCCTTTGGCGCTGGGTACTCTTTGGGGGCGCCAAAGAATTCTCTATGCAGGAAAAACCCTGTATGAGGTAACCGTGCTCAGGCCCGGTTAGTCCTGGAGCGGTGTAAGTGCAGGCCAGCGGGGGAATGGGAAGGCAGGGACAATCGAGCTTAATCACAGTACAGGATAACTGGGCCTAGTGTGTGAATGGGCCCTAAGACAGAGTCGGCTTTCTGGCACAAATTCCCCAACTACCAAAGGTGCATGGAGAAAAAGCTCCAGGAACATGAAGATCAACTTTATTCACTTTATTAGACAGACGTGTTCCAGCCCGTGGCCTTCATCAGGGTCTATATCTTCATACTACGAGTGTTGCTTGAGCTTTTTGACCTCTTCAAGGTATCATTAGACGTCATAGCTGTACGAGGTTAGAATATTGGACCTCGTCGCCGTCTTCCACAACTAACGGCTAAACTAAGTTTGACACATTTTTCTAACAAGAGTGGATCTGGACAACAAGGATGGAAACACTTTCATGTAAACACATTTTCCTTCTCTGTAGACGCATGCGTCCATGATTTGTCGTCAGAGAGATTGTTTTTATTGCAGCGTTTCAGGAATGTGTTGATGTGCTTTATGTGTGATTGCAGCGTTCCTCTAAAATACACAATAAAAAAACCTGACCTTAAACAAGGTCACGACATGAAAGAGAAACTTGTGTGTGTTTGTTTTACACAACGACGAGGGAAATCCAGTCGAGGGAGTTCATGTGACGACAGAGTGATCAGGAATCTCTGCAGCTCGTTTCAACACGATCACAGTAGGAGATCTTTTTATATAACGTAAAGAAACAATAAAACTTAAAAATCGCGAGGCTGTTTGTCGTGACTGTCTTAGAAAATCTCCTCAAAGATCAGAAACTGTTCAACATTTGTGAATATCTGACAGCCTGCAGCACACGGAGTATGAGGCTTCAGTCCAACAGCTGACCTCATCTCCTCTACTGCCAACAAACAAACAACCCTCTGAACAGACCTGCAGAGCAGCGCAATCACACCATCAGCATTTTTTCTCTTTACAACATTAAAGAATATATCATTAATAGGGCGCGATCGATATGAGATTTTTGAGGCCGATAACGAAAACAAATCCAATACTGATATATATCGGCCAATAACTTTCTTTCTATTTTGATGTTTAGAGACGGATATAAATTGACATGTTGCGTTGATGGCCGAAATGCAGATCAGACACTTTTGGAAAAGATTTATAACAAAGACGAGATGGTCACTCAAGAGAACTGCTAGTGTAAGACAATGAAATTAAAAATGAAATACTATTTGACGGGTGAATAAATATTGTAACATCGGCGCATATCTCCTGTAAAATTGGCCGATACAGATAATCACTGGATATGCTGATATCAGCCGTCCGATTCGTCGGCCGGGCTCTGATTCTTATTTCCTGTAACTGATGCCATTGGACTTATGATAGATGCTTGGTTCAGTTATGGATGATTAACAGTGTTTACGTCATGTTAGTCAGCAGCCAATCAGAGAGGAGGAGAGATGAGGGATCACTCAATCAGCTGGTCATAAAAAGCAAACAGACTGAATCTGACACACAGTCTGTTTTTAACTCTTTGATAGTGAAACTCGCAGGTTTCCTCATGTGGACGGGCTGTTACACTCTATTTATTTACAGCTTGAAACTAAAACTCTCATCGTCCACATCGTTAAAGCCTTAGGCAGCGTTTATACCCTGCATAAACATTCATCCTGCGTTTGAGGATAACACTTAAGTAAGGGCGTTTACACTTTGCATTAACACCGAGTCTCCTCAGAGCGCTGGACTCTCATGCAAATAAAAGCATGCTCATTTGAACAGACTGGACGACCTCTCTTTGCAGAGTTTAATCTTCCACCTTCAGGCCTGACGGTACACAAAGCCAAAAAGGCATCGGGTCTCATTTATACCTGCAGCTATTCTTTTGTTAAATTTAAGTTAATTTTGTGTTTCTGTCGACCTATACATAGCATTGATATAAAGACAAATGCCGCATCATATAGAAGACTCTGTTGCTTCATCTGTCACTTCCACATTGTTTTTTTAACGCCATGTCTAACCTAAGGAGACCCCCCTCGCCCCCCCTCCTGATATTCTCCAGCTGTGAAGTGCATGTGGGAACAACCAGATCAGGAGCAGACCTCCTGAAACTATCTAGAAATTTTCAGGAGTGAATCCATGAAATCAGCTTTGGTTGCACCAAATCTCAAAAGCTCAGATTCAACATGTTTAATTGTAAGATCTACTTTATTAACAAACGTTCGCAGCTCTCTCTACATGAAGTCTGAGCGTGAAGCGGAAACAGAGCAGCCGGATCGCAGACACATCAGTCCGCCTGCTGTTTAAGGAAGCCGTTTGAAACACTTCCTCTATTTTGATCTGGGGAGCTTCAGAGTCAGATCCCGTGTTTTACATCATGTCAGATATTATTTGTATGATTATTTCCAGGTTGGTTAGAGGAAAACACGCAGAACACAGGGATTCAATTTACGTCGTTGTCTGTCACAAATAAATCTGTAACGCTACTTTTATTTACCCGCCACTCTGGCTGGTAGGTCGAGCAAATTCAGCCCGACACTGCACAAACACACCCGCATATAGACATTGGTGGGTGCCAATTTCCAACCTTGATTAAAACAGATGCATATAGCTCTGTGTGCTGTAAATATATTATTGAATCATCCACTGGGTGATGTCGTCCTCTTTCTGGGTTAAGAGGAGTCAGTGATGATGTTATCAGTCAGTAAAAACGCTTCATGAATTCACAATGTCTCCTCTCCATTGTTCTGATGACTAAAGTCTTCAGCTCAGAAATGTGATCAGCTGATCTCCAACACTGTTTTCAGGAGCTGTGGACCTCCAATATGGCCCCCAGAGGATTCATTACAGCGATGAAGGTGGTGGGGGTCAATGTAGGAAATTTCAGGGTTAACTCTGAGCAGATAAACCGGAATACAGACGGATACATTCTGTGCAGGAATTACTAACAGAAACTCTTCCTCTGGCACAGCTGACAGATCTCTACAACCTTTACCTTCAATAACAGGCACCACACATATCATCTATTATCGGATTAACTAACAGATCAATAGGCTGCAGGCTTCAGCAATTTGTTGATGAAACTGAGGAATATAAGAGCCCGTCTCCTCTGCATTAAACAAGCAGCACAATTTATTTCAGCCGACGGTCAGCAGGACATGGAGCCTCTTTATCAAATTACACCTCAAAGACAACAAACGCATACAATGGACATCCTTCTGTGTTTAAATGACCACATGACATTCAGATTATCATGAACCAACCAACCCCCCCCCGCCCCCATGTGTTCTTTCATACAGGACCACATGATGAATTCTAGCTATTCCTCTGATAAAAAGTTAAGTAACATATAAGAAGAAGAGGCATCATTCGCAATGGATTGTGGGATGGGTAGTTCCTTGTCTCCCAAAGTAAAATATGTACACAGTCTTGCACTGTTGCCTTTTTCTCAGTTTCTTTAGTGCTGTTTTGGAACTGTTTAATAGACACGAGTATAGAGGTAGCTGGATGTCTCTGTTCCAGGCTTCAATCTCTTGATATGAGGATTTTAGTGAAATGTAAATGGAGGATTTGAACCGGGAATCTTACCTCTGGTACCAGAGCAGACGGGGAAGTGGGCAGTCGCTGGTGAGCTCTTTAGCTAATATGTACACTTATATATTTCATTATTTTACTGAAATACTGGACAACATAACACGTTTTGTATTTTTTTACATTTCTGATTTGATTTTTTCTGTTTTATTCAAATCCCAATAAACGTCACAGAAAGAATAGATATCGCAAATTTAGTTTCCCCCCCAATATTGTGCAGGGAAGGGAATCATAATCGAATTAATTTTAAAAATCCCTAACCCAAATTACGCTACCAGGAGGCTCTCAATCAAAATAATAACAAAAGGTGATGTTGAGGCTGGCGGGGAATCGTGGGAGTGGTTGTCCCACTACCACGGATGAAAACGAAATCTGAGTTGACAGCAGTCAAGATGAGACGGAGGAAAATAATGTGTTTAACAACGAGCTAATGTATCCCGAGTTTAATTTACATGATGTTTTCATCACAGCAGCTTTCATTAGGAGTTCGCGCATTCACGTTATTGTGTTTCCACGGCAACGATAAACACGCCGTTTACGTCATGGCGGCCGCCGCAGGAGACACAACTATACAGTGAAAGATTTCTCTGGCTTTGAATGCTGTAAACATTTGAGGTAATGTTAAGTACTCAAGAAAAAATCTGTAACATAGGTTTTTTTTTTTATTATCATTTAGATATTTTCTAACAAAATTTTACATGTAGAAAATACGTTTTAAAATATCGCGATAATTCGAATCGTCCGTATCGTTACTGCTCAGTATTATGATCCAACAGTCCCTTCTTACTGTTGATGAAATCTGTTCTGAGTTACATTCTTTAAATTAAACACATAATAAAAACATGGTGACGGTCACAGAGTTCACAGACTGAATAAACACATGTTTCGCTGAGTTATTTTAAGCTAAAAGCCTTTTTTTTATCCTGCTAGCTTCGAAGCTAATGTGGCTAACACTGAACAGCTGATTGATCGACAGCTTGTTTGATAAACCCGGAAAAAGGAACCCAGCAGGTAAACCCTACACATCTTTATGGACAAACACAAATCAAAAACATGCATTAGTGTCTCCAGTTATAACTCACCCAGATAAATGTCTCCAAATGATCCACTTCCTATTTTCCTGCCCAGTCTGTATCGGTTTCCCACTCTCAACTCCATTATGTCGGCTAGCAAGCTCGCTAGCTCCAAAAATATCCCAAAAAAATGTTCAGTTATTGAGCCAAAGGTTTTCAAAAATTAAAACAGGCAGAAACACGGACACATTTAATCACTGAGGGCGTTGAATTGTTCCTTCTGTGGGTCGTCTCCGGATGAAATCGGCTCTCCAAATCTTTCGCCACTTGTTTTAAAACACTAATAACGTCATAATGTGACAATACGTAGCTCGTTAGAAAGGTCGAAGTGTGAACTTTATGCTCTCGATGGTTTTTAACAGCGCTTGTCTTTTTATCGCAGCGGATGATGATGGATTTTGAAGACTTCACGGTTTGGCTCAGCTCGTCTCCCTTCGGCTGTCTCTGCTCTGTTAGGATCCTGGCTCGGTAATCTGTTGGAGGTGTCTGACGTCACTTCCTGGACAGTGACGGAGATCCTTTCCGTTGAGAATGAACAGCAGATAACACGACCGGTAACAGCAGCCGGATCACTGCCTGTGAACCACTAGACGAGGGAGGAGAAATATACAGTATTTTATTTTATTTTAAGAAAACTACGGAACGGGATAAGGACCAATTAACAATATTATATCTCGGAAAATTATGCTATAAACGCTAGGTACAATGTGATAGGATATGACGTTAAATGGTTTGTTTTAACCCTAAACACTACGATACCATACATGATACGACACTAATCCCAATCTTCTGACTTTATCGTCACCATTCTGGATTTATTCACAATATTTGACTTTGTTCTGAACTGGTATGCTTTCTGTTTTCCTGGCACATACACTGAAAATCCTGCGATATCACTGCCAACAGATGAACATACTATTTAGAGCCGCCATCTTTGCCCTCCATCCTTTGTTATTTTGGTTTAGTGCTCGGGACTAATCTCCTCCAGGACAGGGTGTCTGCTCCCGCATAACAATAAGAGGTTGGTTCCTTTGTCCAGCTGGCCTAAGTCCACCTCTCATGGACAATACACTGCGGGGATTCCTCTCAAACCACAATGAAGGGTGACAACTAAAAAGAGCCAACGTTAAATACATTTACATCCTTATTTATTTTCTGTTATTCGATGTAAAAAACAACAACTTTATCCCAAGGCAGTTTTTTTTATTAATAAAACTTGACATTAAGTTACAAAAATCACGTATAATGTTGTTATTAAAGTACAAAAGCCTGGCTAAAATCTGATAAAGAAAATACAGTTTCTTGTACTTCTGGTATTTCTCATTTTTAATAAGGAAGTGTTTCTTTTATTCTGAAGGGCTGTGGACGGAAGTGTTTGCTGCCGCTGGAGCTGCAGAAGGAAAAGCTCTCTCTTCCTCGTTCATCTGTCAGTTTGTTGCTTCAATGCTCTCTCGGATAAATTGATTATAATGGCTCTGAACGCAGATGTAAAGAAGCCTCTTCCTCTGCGGAGGAAACGGGAGGACGCGGCGGAGGGCGGAGATGTGCCCGTTAAGAGAGAAAGCAGGTATACTTGCTGTACTCGTTTACCTCCTCTACCTGTGCTTCATGTGCTTTATCTGTCAGAAAACTTTAAAAAGTCTGTTTTTAAAGCTGCTACATCGCAAAAAATAACAATATCATGGTCTTACAGCCAGTTGTTGCTTAAACTCTAACTGACGGAAGTTGGACTGCAGTTTAAGTCGTTAATAGGTTAATTATTAACAAGCATAGTTCATTGGGTTCAGTAGCTAACATGTGACTGGTTTAATTTTAAAGGGGACATACTATGAAAAATCCACTTTGACTGTGTTTTTGAACATATATTTGGGTAACCTGAGTGTCTACCGACCCACAACATGTGAAATAAACCCATCCAGTCCTTTGTTTGTGGTCTGCATAAGTCTTTCAACACAGAGAAAAATGCTCTGTTTCAAATGTGCTCTCCTTGTGATGTCACAGTGGGATTCTGGTAAAAGAATCCCACTGATATCTCCACTCATTGCATTTAAAGAGACACACACACCAAAACAGAGCGTTCAGAGAGAGCTGGTTTATACAGGGTCACAAACCTCCTCTGGTGCTTGATTCATGTTATATTTTGACCAAAGCACAGAACAGATGTTTCATTTAGACCACAGGGGACTGTTTGAAAAGGTGGAGAAGAGGGATAAGATGTCCTCTTTAACATCAAAGACGAGTCAAACCACATATATGAGTCCTCGCTGACCACCTCTTCTCTCCTCAGGTTGGAGTCTCGTTTTGATCAGCCGATGGATTCAGGAAGTATCCACGAGGTCATTAAGTTCACTTCCTCTCCTCTGTCAGGTGAGCAAGCGAGCGAGCTTCATTTTACGTCTTTAAAAACCTTCTCACGCTGATAATAGTTAAATTCTCCTTTCTCCTTTCTCAGCCAAACATTACGATGTGGACACCACAGAACCAATTAGCGGCGGTCTCACCACTTTGGACGAGCTGTTGTCGTGGAAACGGAGCGAGGCGAACCCCTTCAATGTGGCGACGATACCTCTGGCCCCTCGGGTGCCTCCTCTGGCTGATTGTCCACGACGAACTTTGGTGTCTCATGACATGATGGGCGGTTACCTGGACGACAGGTGAGGACGCACATTAATAAAAACAGTCAGGTGTGTGTTTCTGACAAGAGAAGTGGTTCAGATAGAAGTGATTGTACCCGACCTAAAAAGCCTCTGCATGTTTCTAATAAGCTCCACGAGCAGAAACGTGCTCAAACTAGGATCAATATTGGAGATGCTTTTGAAAAATGGAGAGAGGTTAGAACACAGAAAGGTTTACAGACCCATGCTGAGCTGGATAAACACTGAAGCTTCAGTGTCCACCACATGGCAACCTGAGTGACCATCAACTCTAGAGAGGAGGGAGCAGGGGAGGAGAAGACAGCTCTCTGCAATGTTTAGAATTTAGACTGCAGTACCCATTTTAAACACTAGGGGTCAGAGTTACATACTGCTCCTTTAAATACAAACAAATCTGTGCGTCAGATTTTTACCCAGCTCTTCAATAAACACAGAAATAAGAAGATTTAAAACCACACAGCAAATGATAACCAGTAATCTCTGTAATCATGTTGATGTTCTGTCGTGAAGGTTTGTGCAGGGGACTCATGCAGAGGCTCCGTATTCCTTCTATCACTGGCAGCACATCGACGTTTTCAACTACTTCACACACCTCCTGGTCACCATTCCTCCCACCATGTGGACCAACACTGCTCACAAACATGGAGTCGTAATGATCGGTGAGTAAAAAGCGTGTCATGTTTTAGTTATTGTGAAATTTAGGATTGGACTTAATTAGGTTTTCCTGCTGTGTTTTTCGTCCCGATTTCAGGGACGTTCATCACAGAGTGGACGGACGGAGCGGCCACGTGCGAGTCCTTCCTGAAAGACGAGGAGTCGTATCGAGCCGTGGCTGATAAACTCGTCCAGATCAGTCACTGTTACGGCTTCGATGGATGGCTCATTAACATCGAGAACAGCCTCAGTGTGAGTTTCACCCTCATACTTGCTATTCTGCTGATCTCCATTTTAAAACTCTCATGTGGTGTCACAACCCCGGATGCTCAAACTACACCTGTAAACTTAAATTGGAGTAATCCCAGAATTAGTCTGCAGAGTGCACTAAGCAGCTTGTTCTACAGATTAAGCTCCCTGATATGGAACCAAGAATTTAACGAGACGGCTTCAAACCTCTTACATAAACCTCTCCTCTCCCAGCACAGGGGAGCAGCCCTCCCCTGGCAGCCCTGCAGCGTTCTGCCCCCTGAAAGGTTTCCAGAAAACGGGCCAATAAGAAGAAAATTGGCACGTGGGGAGGGGGGCCTTAAAGAGACAGCAGCGTTTGTAGGCACAGGCTGTTTCTTTAAGGCTGTCGTTTTTTCAGCTCACACATAAATCCTATCAACTCAAAGGTTTCAACTCAAATGCTAAATGAAGTTTGTGTTTTTACGTAACTGAATGGGGTGTTGTGTCCTCTTCCCTGCAGGAGGTGGCGCTGAAGAACACACCTTTGTTCCTGCGTTATCTGACCGACCAGACGCACCTGAGGGTGCCGGGAGGTTTGGTCCTTTGGTACGACAGCGTGATCGATACGGGACGTCTGCTGTGGCAGAATGAACTCAACCAGAACAACAGGTGGAGGATCTTAGAGAACTAGTTTTACATCAATGAGTTAATTTATATATTCAGATGATCATCAGTGTCTTCATGTAATGAGAGGATGTGAACCAAAACAAGACTGGTAACTGTGGACGTTTTCACATCTGCACTCAGCAGATTCTTACTCTGTTGACCTCCTAGTTCAGGCTGTTTGACATTTTAATCCTCCTCTTACCGTGACAGGATGTTTTTCGACGCTTGCGATGGCTTCTTCACCAACTACAACTGGACCGAGCGGAACCTGGAGTGGATGAGCAACTACAGCGGCATCTCAGGTCGCCAGGCCGACGTCTACATCGGGGTGGATGTGTTCGCCCGAGGCACAGTGGTGGGAGGGAAGTTTGAAACAAACCAGGTACAAACTGATGACCTTCCTGCGAGTCTGTTAAAGACCGACGGTCCTCAGATCACTGACGGCGTGCACTCTCCTGTTCATCTGTTCTGCAGGCTCTCCAAGTCATCCGAAAACACAACTTCTCTGTCGCCCTCTTTGCTCCGGGCTGGGTGTACGAGACGCATGAGGATAAGAGCGAGTTCCGCAAAAATCAGGACAAGTGAGTGTAGGGATCCTTTTGTGTGATGTTGTCAGACACAATCTGAGCTAGGGACTCTGTCACGGACAAAAACAACATTTAGTGAAGAAAAACCCTCAAGATGTGTCAGGTGCACTCACACTCGGCAACATGTACCGTTTCTGAACATGTTTCCAACCCCTTAAATCCAGTTTATTTGACTGGTACTCCATTCTTTGCTAAAGCATGGTGCATGGCACTTCTTTGGCCCTGAATTGGTTGGAAGAGGTGAACTTAAAGGCTTTCTATGTGATTTTTTTGATCCAGCAGATGTCGCCCTTGAGCTCCAGCATGAAACCAAAACAACTCGCGCTGCATTGTTGTGTTAGCATGCTAATGCTAGCGATCTTTATTATGCTCGTATCTTCACACTGCATGTAAATTTACCTGAAATGAGCGTGATCTAGAAACACAGTTAAGCAGTGAGTACAGTATGTTATTCTTCTTTTCTCTAGTCCCTCAATTAAACAACTTTTATACGCGAGGGGAGGAGCCGGTTGGCCGTCCCGGCGATGTAAACAAACTGAAGATAGGACTCTGAAAACATCACAGACAGTGGGACTCGGGTGTTACACCCATTGTAGACAGTCATGACTCATAGGGGTAATTTCAGAGGATATACTTGATTTTTATTACATTTAAGTGTGAAAAATCAAATATCAAGCCTTCAATGCACGAGCACAAACGGGGGTGTGCAGCGTGTAGAGGACGTATCTCGAAAGAACGAGCCGTAAAGTTGCCGCCATGTTTGCGCTCCATGACTCTGAGACCGCGCTTCATGTAAACTAAAAGAGGCTTTATGCTGATGTAAAGCCATGCGTCTGATGTGATGCATGTGAAGACACATGTACAAGAGGTAGCTGTGCTCGGGCCCGGTTAGACCTGGAGCAGTGTGAGTGCAGGCCAGCAGGAGACTGGAAAGGGGGGGGAAACTGGGACTACTGTGAGTATGCCCTTCAACTTTCAGAGACAGAGGTGTTTTTTTTTTTAAAGTATCACGTCCTTTCTGCAGATTCTGGGCTCTTCTATCAGACTACCTGTACGTCCATCGGCCATCTTTGTCCCTCCCCTTCATCTCCTCCTTCTGCCAGGGCTTTGGGAAGGCCCTCTACTGGAGAGGACAGGTACTGTTTCTATGATCGCAGTCATCCAAAACGATTTCAGTTTCTGATTGTGCTGCATTAATTAGTTTTCTTTTTTGCGTGTGTGCAGCGTGAGACGGAGAGGAGCTGGTTCAACCTGAGCGCTCAGGAGATCCAGCCTTTATATTACCACACAGAGCTGGAGGGCGGAGCCTGGCTGCAGAGCCGCGGCTGCCCTGACGACGCCTGGAACGGAGGCAGCTCTCTGCTGCTGGACGGACTCATCCCCGCCGCACACACCTCTCCAGTTTGTGCAAAGTGTGTTTGCATGATTTTCTTTCTGCTTTATTTTCAAGACAGATGAACAAATCAAGCAGCTCTCAGAGTTCATGCATTTTCTCCTTGTTGGGTTTTCTCTCTCTCTCTCTCTCTCAGGATCTTCTCGCTCCACGTTCCCCTCGCTGCAAAGACTCTGGTGAGCGTCATCTACAAGCCGTCTGCGGGGATCTCAGTGTCCCTAGAGCTGAAGACCACAGATGCAAGTCTGTGCACACACATGGACATCCAAGATGTTCAGCGTGAGTTTCTAACTCTGCATCCATTACCCATCCCCCTGAGGACAATCAGAGATGTCTGGAACCTTCTTCACTTAAACAGAAGTTCAGGTTCTTTTGTTCACAGACTCTGGTAAAGTAGAAGTAGTGCTGTAAGAATGTAAGTCACCCTGTGTCCACCTGGTGTTTTTTAAGGGCAGAGAAGGGCCGGCTGTGCGCTCAGGATCTTTGCACGTGCTGTATGACCAACTCTGCTCCTTTGCTTCTTACTGTATGTGTTATTACTGAGATCGTTTTTTTCCCGTCACCATAAGCATCAAACGGAGGATGTTTGTCTGGATGATGAGATTAATTACAATGACAGGAGCGAGGAGGATGTGGGACGGAAAACACGATCTGTTTGAGACAAAAAAAAGGGGAACAGTATCTCCTTTTCCTTGGTTGAATGAAAAGATTCAACAACAGCGCTCTTCTGAAAAGTTGAGAAAAAAAAAGTTTTCTTTGGGCGGCCGCCTGCTGCTGCAAGCGCCCCCTCCTCTTTGGGAACTATTGAAAGGAGGAGCTGGCCTTCAGATATACGCCAGGTGGACACAGGCCCTGATTTATTTCCTGCAGTAGGTAAGAAGGTGGCCGGCGAGTAAAAAGTACAGATATTTGTGTAAAAATGTTTGGGCTGAAAGCAAAGTATGTTAATAAAATAAATACTGAGGTGAAGTACAGACACCTGAAACTCTTCTTGAGCTCAGTAACAGAGTGGTTTGTGTCTCCACAGTCATCAGTGTGACTCCTGAGCAGCTGAATGAAGAACAGCAGCTCTTCAAACAGTTCTCTCAGCTGTGTGGAAGCTTTATTCCCTCAGGTTGGACTGTCAGGTAAAGAGCTCTAACAGTCAGAGTAAGTGACAGCTGTATTGAAGGATTTCCTTCATGAGGAGTTAACCTGTCTGCTCTCTGTGTTCAGGTGCTCTCAGCTGGAGCTTCGTGGTTGTGCTCTCAGAGAAGTTTGTTTGAGCATCCGGCGGGACGGCGAGCCCGAGGACACGCCGTTCAGCTGCAGGCTGGGACAGATCATGGTGAGACTCGTGTTTAATGGGTTCTTGGTACCAGTGTTTCTCAGGAATTCTCAGGTACCCTTAAAGAGAAATAGACCACAGAACCCAGGATGATTCTCTGGTTCTTCATCTGAGGAGATTTTCTGTTTGCTTACTTTAACATGTGGACGGAGACCTTATGGTGAAGTCTGTCGGTCTGGTTCTTTTTAACAGGGCACTTCAGAAATGTTACCTGTACTCAAGGATGAACTGATCAGATTTTGGTTTAGAGTTTTTATTTTTTTATTTTATTGTTGTGTCATACATCCATATGCCCAGCCTGCATTGGGCTTACATGACACCATAAATTAAAAACGTTCCCGGATCAGAGTGCACTAGGTAAGCTATATTCATTCTCAAGAAACAAAAAGAGAAAGCAAGAAGTCAAACTAATTAAACAGAATATCCTGTCTTCTTTTCCAAGCTTTTGAAACAAAATGAGCAAGTTTAAACACATTAAACTTAAACAGCCATTCCAGTTTCTGCACATCTGTCCGCCCCAATATTTCTGATTTTACTTCATGAAAAAATAATTCTCTTAAATCATCAGATTTTGTTCAATGCAAAAGAAAATGGGACTCTGTTTCAACTTTGTCCAACTCACACATCTCACAAAGTCTGTTTTCTACTGGAGTATTTTGTAATGCACCGACTTCAGCGGCCAGAGGGAGAATACCCTCAGTCCCTCTTTAGATTGTGCCTCAAGAATTCATCCTTTCGGGGCGCCGGTAGCCTATTGGTTCGTGCACGCTTCAGTCAACAGAAACATGAGAACTCTTTTTATTCACCCTCGCCTCCTGCCTCTCTTTCTCTCCACCAGCTCTTGGACATTTCCAGCCTGCAGGTCCCTCCTGAGCTCATTCAGGGTTTGTGCATTTATGACGTGGTGTGGTTTCGCGGCGTCGGTTCCTCACTGGAGTCCACCTCTCCCGGTCTGATCCTGAACGCCACCCTTCGCTGGGATTACCCGACTCACCTCGTGCAACACTTCAGGGTGTACTGGAGGCATCTTAGAGGAACTGATTCTAGAATCCCGGCAGGGCCGCTGCTTCTGGTGGGGCGAGCGTATTCTAATCTTTACAGAGTGACGGAGCTGATGGTGCCAGAGCCGCCCGGCCTCATGGAGCTGGTGGTGGAGCCGGTGATCAGGAAGGACTTCCAGATCCCAGAGAACCACTGGGGGAGGAGCAGCCTCAGCTACACCGAGGACTCAACATGAGGACTAAAGAATAATTTATCAGGATGAACCTTTGGTCAATGGTGCTGCAATCAAGGCTCAGAGATAAACGTCCATGTTCAGAAGTTGGAGCAACTCAGGGTTTGAAAGTTAATTAAGAATCTACATGAGAAGAAGGATTGGGTTATAAAGCTCTTATTAACAAAATGTACCGTACCAAATATAAAAGTATGTTTAACTTTTGACTGACTGTATGTTGGATGTGTTTAGTAAGACACAAACATTTGATGGAACAGAATGTCTCATTATTCATAAGCTATGGACCTACAATCTGTGAGTTAAAAAATAAAATTGTACAACTTAAGGATAGTTATAAACTGTAAAACTATGCATGAACTAGTTATCTGATAATATTCCTTCTGACACATTTATGGTCAATCTAACTTAATATATCTTTGTGCATCAAATGACAAACAGTTTTATTTGTACTTATATTGACTTTAACGGTGCCTTTTTTTAACTTTGATAATAAAGTCTTTAACCTCCGCTGTTGGAAAATGAAGCTGTAACTGTAGTGTAAAATCCTGCAGTTCCTCGAGTGTCCACTAGAGGCTGGCTGCAGAAGCACAGGAAATCACACACCCATTCTAAAAAGGCTGTTTTTACAGCAGAGATTAACATGTTTACAACCTGGTTCAAAAAAACAAATAGGTGTGATTAGCTCATGTCTCGATCGACACACACTATATGGGGGGTAAATGTTTTGATGACTCATAAGTTTTGATTTGATGAAGGATAAGAGTTATTCACAATAAGGCGTGTAGCTGACCTGATTGACAGGTGGGCGCGGTATAACGGTTTGTCAGGGGGTTTAAAACCCGCCTCAGCCCCAGCTCTCAGCCTGCTGTTAGGTTGACTGAGACAGCATTTCCAACATGGAGACCGCCATCGATGGGACTCCAGCGCCCCCTGCAGGAACAGACGGGCAACCTCACTCAGGCTCAAACATTAACCGTCTATTCTCTCAGCCCTGAAATACCTGAGAGGTTTAATATCTTTGCACATCAGAAATAACGTAGTAATGAAGATGACCATTTATGTTGATTCAGATCAGACTTCAACAGAGACAAGGACAAGTCAGTATTTACAAAAACAAAGGCTTTATTTTGGCTTCCAGCCACACATGTCAGTGCTAAAATTAGAGTACCAGGATTCTACTTGGAATTGAATTTTTATTTTGGTCAAGCAGGAAGTGAAATATAAAAGAGGGTTTGTGATCTTCGTGATTGTCAGAGCCATTCCAGCTGGCATCCTCATGAGGGGGTTCAGGCCTGCTGGGTGATCATCTTCAGCATCTGTAAGGCCATGGGACCCTGATCTGAGGGGATCTAAGAAAACAGAAAAAATTACAGGTTCACTCAATTTGTACCTCTTAGAATTCACTTCGCAAACGTTTTTATCCAAAGCGACGAACCTCAGAGTAAGAACAACACAAGCAAGGATCTAGAGAGGTTTAAGTCTGATCGGACACAGGTGCTGACAGGAAGTGACCACAGGCAAAACACAACATCCAGAGCTGCTTTAATCAGCATCAAAACCATCCTTAATATTATCATCATTAAAGTCTTATTATAACAAACTGCTCGAGTCAATGTCTCACCATGTGTCCGGCTTTGAGGATCCAATAGAAAGAGAAGTTCTTATGATTCTTGTAGAAAGCTCCAGTCACACCAGGGGAGGCAGGGTCATCCAGCGGGGTCCACCTCATCTTGTTAAACCCAGGTAGCCCCTCCCACTTCAGCTTCTTCACCCACAGCTCCTGGCCTGCATGAAAAAAGCGTAAAGATTCATTGATGCGTTTACACCAAGACTGCACAAAATAATAAGTAATAATTCAGTGATAAGTTACCCATGGTGTCCACTATGAGGTCCAGCTGGCCGTTGTAGATGGTGACGTTGACTCCAGCCTCGAGCAGCTGATCGACCACATCCACCACCGGCTTCATGAAGTCTCCGGCCATGTTGCTGAAGACTTCCTCTGCCTGGCCTGAAGATGCAGCAAACACAAGAGAGGAAACCGAGTTTAAAAAAATAATGATTCAAGAAAGCTTTTCAAACTAGATAAAACTGCTGAATAGACGAGGCGGCGATGACGTACCTCCCCAGGTGACATTCTGGGGGATGATGACCAGTTTCTTCCTGATTGGTCCGTTCATCAGCTCGCTGAGGGATTGGCTATGGAGGGGTTGAATATGGCGGCGTGTCTGCAGAGCTGTGAGAGAGAGAGCGAGCATTGGTTGTAGATTACAGATAAACCAGTGTTAGCCTCTTTGATTGTTTTTGCACAGTGGTGTCTCACAGATGTAATCTTCTCCTGCTGAAGTGACAACTCCCTCATCCGGCTCCTGCGTCAGGATGTTGTAGAAATTGACTCCATTTGTGTTCTTAAAAAAAAAAATTGAACCACATCAATCATGATGTCAATCTTAAAAAACATAAAACTACTCTAGTGCCAGAATGCAGAGTATTTGAATTAATGGTTTACCTTCTAGCTTTTAAAATATTCAAACTGGTGTCCCAGAAGGCTCCATACTGGGTCCCATTTTATTTTTTTACAAATAACTCTTGTTGCTTTTTAACATTTAATTTTATGCAGATGACACCATTATGTACACTTCTGTCTCATCCTTACAGATTGTGATTTACAGAGACCTTTACTATATGTTAACAGAACAAACATGTTGTGCTTCATATGGTCAAATAAGACGAAGTGCAGGCTCTCCGATGGTGTAAACTAGATTGTCTACAGTCTTTCAAACACCATCTAGTCCTGCAGAGGCTCCAGTGTTGAACCCACCTGCTCCACCACAGTCTCAGTCACTGACCACAGCTCCGTCGCTTTCTCAAACTGCTGCAGCTCCACCGCTCGCTTGACAGCATCCGCCGCACTGCTGACTTCTGCCAGGCCGTATTCATCCAACAGAGACTGAACAGAGAAGTAGAAAGAGTCAGACGAACACTCAACAGAGCGGCTTGACCAGTAGAAAGATTGTTACTCACGGTGGTGTAGAGGTATGGTCCCCAGGTCATGACCGAGTCTGTGGAAGAACATAAATATTTAAAAAAAGGAGACGATGCATGCTTTCTAGACGCTTCACGGCTAAAATAAACATTGCAGGGACTTGTAATACAAGTGTGCAATATTAACCTTAAAAACAGCGTAATTATATAATGTGAAAAATATGTGCGCAATAACCTCAGGTGCAATAAGAGATGTAGAAAGTAGAAACAAGAAAACATTTATATTTTCATTTCATTGTACAGTGTTCCCCTTTGTTATTTTTTTGTATTATATCTTTGCTGTAATACAGTGTATCGTTCTGTACAGTTTATTTTAATTTACTTAGCCGTTACTACAACTTATTTTATTTGTACTTTTCTACTCTTTATAATGCTATTTTATATATAATTTTAACTTTTTTGTAGAAGCTGACTCAGGGAGAAACGCACAAAAATTCCAATGTACCTGTACCTGAGCAAATGGCAATAAACATCGATTCTATACCCTTTACCTGGAGTGCTGAAATCTAGATATGCAGCCTTCCAGTGGAGGTTTGTTTGGGTTTGATAAGAAATGTATGCACACATTGTGGTAAAAGTGAAAGACTGATACTGACCCAGAGGAGAAATCCATGAGTCTCCCAGTGCCACACCAGCAAAGTTACACTTCAATGACCCGTGTGCTACGGCCTGGACGAGACCAAAAAAGGGTGGTTACACCAAATCAGGTCGGCAGGGGACAGTTTCAAAAACAGCATGCTTCTCTCCTCGTCATCCACCACATGACATCTCTTTGACACTGGGACTCTCCAAAGAGGAAGTTGAAAGGAGAAGTAAGATGAACTCACCTTCGTCAGCTCCAAGGAGATTGCAGCGGCCATCTTCCCTCCATAAGACTCAGAGAAGATGTAGAAAGGGACGCTCTGCAAGGGACAGAAAAAGACAGACGGGTCTTTGTTGGGGGGTTTCAGTTAGATTCTTTTAGTCCTGATGGTCATATCCACTCTACTGTTTTAACGTTCATTAGTTTTGTATAAAGCAACCTTTTAGTGCTCTCCCTGTGTTTGTATTCATGACATTTTGGAGCTAGAATGGAGTTAATCTAGACCTGGAACAGTAAAGAGTTGGCGTACCTGAAACTCTGCCTTGTCTTTAAAGAAGTGCTGCAGCAGCACGAGCATGTCCGAGGCCACCATGGACACGTCGGTGGCGTAACCGCCCGGTCCGTCGGTGTAGCTGAAGCCGGTGCCCACAGGGTTATCCACGAATAACACACTGGCTGCCTGGACCTGAGAGAGCAAGCACACACACAATTCATCAGAATGTTAACCTGAAAATGTGAGCTAAACCAACAGGAGGGAAAACAGCCATGTGTCCTCAGCTCTCTGTTCACATTTAACACAGCCCTAATGTCAGAGTACAGAACTACAATCAGTGAGATGTGTAGTGAGTGAAATGATAAAGTGAGCTTACTATATGATCAGACATTAAGGAAAGATGCTATGTTGAAGTGCTGGCTTCTCTGACAACAATGCAGCAGCCAGTATGTACTCCTTCTAACATTAGATTCTGGTCCTGAATGCTCTGGATTTGTTTGGACCAGAGAAGGTAGGCGGTTTTTAAGACACCCCCCCACACGGCCGTTTTGGACGCCCCTCGGTTTGCCAGATACGAGAGCAGTTATCAGGTCAACAGGTGTTGCAGCGATGGAAGCGGGCAAGAGAAGTGGTTCAGATAGAAGTGATTGTACCCGACCTAAAAAGCCTCTGCATGTTTCTAATAAGCTCCACGAGCAGAAATGTGTTCAAACTAGGATCAATATTGGAGAAGCTTTTGAAAAATGGAGAGAGGTTAGAACACAAAGGTTTACAGACTGATGCAGAGCTGCTGGCTGAACACTGACGCTTCAGTGTCTTCACACTGAACTTGTAAAAGGTGCATCTTCTTCTGAAAACAAGCCCATCGTTGAGTTCCAAAAGGGGAGACGATGTCCGAACTCATTATCATTTTTGATAACTTATTTCTGATCCATGAAAACCTTAAAGACCAAAGTCTTACCCAGCTGGTCTTCCTGGGCTCCTGGTTCCTGTTCAAAGGTCCGATCTCCTCGAAGTTCCCAAATCCAGTTCCTGATCCTCCAGGTCCACCCTGAAGACACAAACCACCTCATCATGTTTCAACTCTAAAGACCAGCGGGGGGGGGGGTGCTAAAAACACAGTTCCTCCTCAGCAGACTGAAATAACAGGAGCACTGATGTTACTCATAAAGTCACAAGAACACATTCAACCACAACTTCACACTGCATTGTTTTTAGTGTTTAATCTTTAACTCTGCAAACTGTGGGAGTCACTAGGAGCCATGTTTGAAGCTTCAGAACTCTGCTGAAGCAACTACAGCACATTTCACAAACCTGCAGTCCAGTTTGGTGTCTTTAGCTTAAACAACTGAACTGGCAGAGACTAAAATCTGCTCCATATCAGGATGCAAACACATTCCCCTGACTTTAACACCAAATGTGCAGACAGACAAAATACCTGAATGCTTAGGGGGTAAAGGAAGGACATGTTGGGAGAACAGTCAAAATACACACAGACAGGGATTCAAACCAGGAACCTCCTCGCCACTGCACCACTGCGCAGCCCCAAATCAGGCCTTATTTTCTGATTTTTATATCTTGATTTTGTTGGACTTCTCAGGTGAATTTGGCTTATATGAAGTGAGAGAAATACACCTGCTAAGATGTGAGGATAACTGAAGCACTTAATTTAAGACAGAAACACATGAAATGACCTGACTCATAAAAAACCTGCACAGACTGTGATTTGATTTGTCAGTCGTGTTCTCACCTGCAGCCACAAGACCAGAGGCAGATCCATACTGTGTGCAGACGGACTGTCAGCATAATACAGCCACCAGAACATGTGGGCCCCGTCCCTCACCTCCACATAGTCCCAGTCTTCTTTACCGGACAGAGGACTGGAGAGACCTGCGGAACGCACACGCACACAGACAGAGTAAATCTAAGAAACAGCGTTACTTTCTGTTTGCAGTCAGCTGAATCGCTGCACCAAATGATCAGACCTACGTGTTTGTTCCGGTTTGTTTACTGATTTTATTTACCCAGAATTCACCACATTAAGGAGCTTTAAAAGGCGCCATGTGGAGGTGATAACTCCTACCTGTGTTGACGATAAAGAAGAGGACAACCACCAGCCTACAGCTCGTCTCTGTCCGGATCATTGTTGCAGAGTTGGTGAAAAAGCCCCACTCTCTTTGCTTTTATTACGGCAGCTGATCACATGACCACACCCGAGGTCAGCTGACTCAGAGCAGTCAGTGCATAAACATCAGACTGGGAAAGGACACTTTGCTCAAATGCCACAGAAAGTTTAAATTCTTCACAATCACAACGTTTTGTTTCATTCTTCCTCAGTCTGGTTAGGCTGCTGTCTCACTTTTCATAATTTATAATTTATTTAAATACTAAAATATTCAGTACGAGTTATAGAAAGTGTGTAATGTTAAAAATAACTTTCCTTAAAGGCAGCACACATAATCTAACTATATCACTCCTATACATAATGTTTATGAAGCAGATTTATTTTTGGTTAGATTCTGGTGAGTGCCTCCTGACCAGCAGGGGGCAGTGTTGAGAAAGAGTTGTCTTTAGAGAGGTCATAGCCAATGAAAACTCCGTTTCCAGCCATTGGCCTTCAAAATAAAAGACAAAACACTTTTTCATTCAACGATACAATGAATGTACAAAGAAATAACAGATTTTTGTTATGATATCAGTTTAAGTTTTATTTTTACAGTCTATGGTTTAACCATCATAAGAAATGTCCTGAGTTTTTTTTTTTTTTTACTGTTACAGCACTGTCTGTGATAATAACAATAATAAAACACGGAAAATAAAAAACAACAAAAGCATTTCGCAGCTCAATCACATAACGACAAAGGGAGGGAAAGTAACTGAAACAAAGATTACTAACTTAAATTGAAAGCCATACAACACTTTAATTAAAATACAGGGTATTTTTTGTAAAACATGATGGGTATTTCCTCAATAATTTTTATACGTTTAGATTTATGCAAAAATTAGGTAATCTACGTTTCAATAATAATATTTAGACTTTTTTTGTTCAGTTATTTTCTGTTTTTAGATAATATATTATCGCTATTTTCTCTAACCGGAACTTAAGTATCCTTTACCGTTCTTTTTCAGGTACTTAAACGTTTTTGACACACCAAAAATTATTTAAAACATTTATTCTGAAAATCCCTATCGGAAATAGTGCTCTGTTAGCCGGCGGAACCGAACACGCGTTGTGTGTATGTGTTTTGGTTTGAGTTTGGTGTGCTATCATCCTCATGATGGCTGCTCACAGTAACAACTTTATCCGCGTCCGGTTACTCTTTGAATACCCGCCTCCCGCCACGGCGGACTGCCGGATGTGCTGGCTGCTCGTGGACCTGAACAGGTGTCGCGTGGTGTCGGACCTGGAGGGTCTAATTAGAGAGAAGTTCGAGTTCAGCCGCAGGAGCATCCTGAACCTGTTCATCGATGACTGCTACCTGCCGCACACCGAGAGCGTGTACGTGGTGCGGGACAACGACAGCGTCAGGTGATGATAAAAAACAACAATGTTTTTAATGCATGTGGTCATATCACCTGTAAGCAGAGGCGATTCTAGAGACTGTTGGGGTCCCAGGCAAACATCTATTGCCCCCCCCCCCCCTCCCCCTCCCCCAAGCAGCTTTTATTACCAGTTTTTCTGCCAGTGTAATGAGTCCTGTCCCTGTAGTGTCATCTGCAAACAGTAAGGGACCCAGAACGCAGCCTTGAGGAGCTCCAGTGGATGAGTAGTTGGTGTTGTTGACTCGTACTGTCCTAGGTCTGCCTGTCAGGAAGTTGTGGGTCTTTGAGGGGAGAAAAAGTATATTTCTGTAAACAATAGACTCTCTTCATTCTTGTTTTTCCAGGGTGAAGGTGGATCATCTGGCACCGGTGAATGGGCACATCAGCTCTCCGGTTACAGACGGTGAAAGCTGCAGAAAGAGGCAGAGACCTGCAGAAGAGGATGGAGTGGGAGAGACCCTGAAGAAGAAAAAGAAGAAAAAAAGAAGTGAGGGAAGTCAGGAGAGGGATGACGGCAAGCAAGCTGACGGGGGTGAGAGTAACACAAAGTCACAAGAGAAGCACAAAGAGAAGAAGAAAAGGAAGGAGGTTCCTGCTGTCACGCCGAAACCGTTGGCTCCGACCAAAAAGACGCCAACGAGCGTAGAGCAGCCAGTTAAAACCATCAAGAAGCTCCCGGCAAAACCACAGAAAGCCTCCTCTTCAGACTCCAGCAGCAGCAGCAGCAGCGAGGATGAAGCTCCCAAAAAAAAAGCTTCCCAAAAACCAGCTCCTAAAACCTCCTCCTCCACGCCCGCCGCCTCCAAGGTGACTCAAAACACAAAGAAAAAAGCTCCGCCTCCTTCCTCGTCCTCGTCAGAAACCTCGTCGGATGAAGCAGCGAGTGCAAAAAACCCGCTTAAAAAGAAACTTTTAAACTCTGCAATCCCTAAAAAGAGTGTAAATGCTAAACCTCAGCAGGCTCCTCCTTCTCCTCAGACGGCCACAAAGCCTGCACAGAAACCATCCTCGAGTGCACAGAAACCGGCGCGGTCTTCCAGCTCAGACAGCGAAGAGGAGATCCAGCTGGTTATCCGACGGCCGGTTCAGCCCGCTCAGCAGCTCGGCCGCGGTTTGGGAATCCAGTCGCCGGGGAGGGGTCGTGGGCGGGGTATGATGAGGGGTGGGGGCCCCGCAGAGAGGGAGAGGGGGAAGGGGAGGGGTGAGGGAAGAGGAAACATCAGAGGGCACAACAACAGCTTTGAGTTTAACTATAACGGAGCCACAGAGCCGACCTACCAGACCGACTCGCTGACCAACATGTCAGTCGTCATACAGGTCAGTCTGAGTGTCAGTATTCAACTTCTGCACCATTTTTCACTATTATAAAGAATGTATTTCCAAAATAAATCTTCCTCTTAGTTAATAAAAATGTAAAGAATCAAACAGCAACATGTTTTTAAAGGTGGAGTCAGTGGAGATGTTGGTTGCAGACACAACATTCAAACTACTTTGATATAAACTGTTTAAAACATCTGGATAAACTTTTGTTTTTACGCATCTCCGTCTGCAGAACAGAACAGAAAGTGTTCCCAAAAAGGACTACAGCTCCATGCCGCTGTTAGCCGCCCCTCCTCAGGCGGGGCAGAAGATTGCCTTCAAGGTGAGCCTAGTCTAATTATCTTCAGGGGTATCTCTTGTTTGCTGACCTGTGTAGCTTTGAAGCCCTGTTGGCCTAGTTTAACCACAAAAACCTCACTGAGATCTCATTTACAAGAGTCAGCACCTTTAACAAGTTAAACACATTAAACACCTTCCTCCATTTAAAGAGAGCAGCTCCCTCAGACACAAATCATCCTGCAGGTCTGTCTATAAACCCCTCTATTTCAGCACTGCTCAGAACATGTCTGTACCTTTAAATATGTGAATGAGCTGTGTCTGACCACACCCCCTCTCTGGAAGGGCTTGGGTGTACTCGGTGCTTTCTCGCTCCATGTCCTATTGTTTACGGGGAGAAGGCAGACTCGGAGAGCAGAACAAACACCTAGCTGTGGGAGTGTCACCCACCTGGGGGAGGGGCTACTGCCCTTTGTGATGTCATGAAGGGGAAATCTCCAAACAGCCTGTTTGAGCACACATTTTCTGAAAAGTGGAGCAGGGAAAAGACGGAGAGGATGGACTTTTTCTCATCATTGGGGGGTTTGTAGACAGACTAGAGACACATGGAGAAGAGGATTTAACTTCATATGTGATCTTAATACGATCTACCGTATTTCTGAGTCGTCTTCAAATAACAAAAGAAAAGTGGTAGAAATTCAGACATTTAGAAATGTAAGGTTTAATCTTCATTTGATAACTTAATCTCTCCGTTTGTTCACAGCTGCTGGAGCTGACGGAGAACTACACACCCGAGGTTTCAGAGTATAAGGTGAGCGTGATAATTTCTGCTGCATGCTTTGAATACTGATCACTCTTTTCCTGAATGGGCAATAAAGAGAGCATCACAGGATGTGTAAATCATACCTGAATAACCGCTCCTCTGTTCACCTTGTTGCTTTTGTTTCAGGAGGGACGGATTGTGAGCTTCGACCTGACAACCAATCAGGTGGAGCTGAACCTTCTCTGCTCCTCTCAAGGTGGAGATTGTTTCACAACAGACTCATAAAATATTCATTACACTCTGAAACACCTTGTTCAAAGTAAACGTATTCATGCATTGAAGATTGTTTTCTCCCCCAGCTCCTGTAGAGCCTGGAAAGTTCGACCTGGTTTATCAGAACCCGGATGGTTCAGAGCGGGTGGAGTACGCCGTGTCCAGAGGCTCCCGGGTAAGATTTAGCATAAAGCTGCTGTTGTAGTAATTTTATCATTTTAATCTCAACAGTATGGAACACAAACATGCTCATCACTGAGCTGGAGTAAGACTAGAGTTAGCCTAGCTTAGCATAAAGACTGGAAGCAGGGGGAAACAGCTAGCCGGCAGTTCCGGCTGGGGCGGCACAATTTCTCACAGATAGATCCGGGATGCATATCTTAGTTCTTAAGCTTGAAGCTAACACATACTGGAAAATGCCATGAACTGGGTAACAGAATTAGCATTTTACTAAGTTAACGATCTATTTTACTTAACATGCTTAACAAACGTCACCATATGTTTCCTAAACTCTGTGGAGACAAACTTAAAAAACTGCTGACTCATGCTGGTCTGGTCTGCTGGTCTGATCCAGTGATGCTGCGTGACTGAGTCTGGCGCCCAAGACCAGAAACACTGAGGACACTGAAGCTTCAGTGTTTAACCAGCTCTGCATTGGTCTGTAAACCCGCTTCCATCGCTGCAACACCTGTTGGTTTGACCTGATATCTGCTCTCATATCTAGCAAACCGAGGGGCGTCCAAAACGGCCGTGTGGGGGGTCGCCTTAAAAGCGCCTACCTTCTCTGGTCCAAACAAATCTAGAGCATTCAGGACCAGAATCTAAAGTTAGAAGGAGGACATACTGGCTGCTGCATTGTTGTCAGAGAAGCCAGCACTTCAACATAGCATGTTTCCTTAATGTCTGATCATATAGTAAGCTCACTTTATCATTTCACTCTCTACACATCTCACTGATTGGACCTTTGTCTTGTGTCTCCTCCTCTACAGGTGACAGAGCGATGGGACTCTTTGCTGGAGCCTCGACTGATCATTTAAATCTCACAAACAGAAATTGAGATCAGGGATCTGAGCCCATCGTTTTTTAAAGACGGTTTCAGGAGTAATATTTGTTGTTTCCTCTGGAACTAAATGCTTTTATGTTTTCTAAATGATGTGACTGTGAATACCTGTCTTGTAAACTGTTTTTCTAATAAAATACTCCAAAGATAACTTTTGTGTCACTCCAGTTTCATGGGAGCCGGTTTGTTTCAGGGCAGGCGTTAAAATGTCCTGAATTCTGAAATTGTTACAATGAAAAGATGGGAAGTTGATTTTTTTTTTGATTTTTTTATTATAATTATTTATATAAAGTCTGCATGTTCTCCCCGTGCATGCGTGGGTTCTCTCCCGCTTCATCCCACAGTCCAAAGACATGCTTGTTAGGTTGATAACACAACGTACATTTTAACGTAGAAACATGAAGCCGACGCTAAAGTGTAAAATCCTGCAGTTCCTGGAGTGTCCACTAGAGGCTGGCTGCAGAAGCACAGGAAGTCACATACACACCCATTCTAAAAAGCCTGTTTTTACAGCAGAGATTAACATGTTTACAGCCTGGTTCAAAAAACCAAATAGGTGTGATTAGTTCATGTCTCGATCGACACACACTGTACGGGGGGTGAATGTTTTGATGACTCATGAGTTTTGATTTGATGAAGGATAAGAGTTATTCACAATAAGGCGTGTAGCTGACCTGAGTGACAGGTGGGAGCGGTGTAAGGGTTTGTCAGGAGGTTTAAAACCCGCCTCAGCTCCAGCTCTCAGCCTGTTGTTAGGCTGACTGAAAGTTAGACTGAGACAGCATTTCCAGCATGGAGACCGCCATCGATGGGAGTCCAGCGCCCCCTGCAGGAACAGATGGGGGATGTCACTCAGGCTCAAACTTTCATATTTACAGTCATATTTTTTCCCTCTCACTGTGGTTTCTGTCCTATCACTAAAAAATGTTAAGTATTCTAATATAAAGTCCCTGATTGGGTGTTGTAGTTTACAGAAGCTGTAAACTGAGATAAATCAAAACATTTTATTCTACTCCATTTTCCCGTTAACGAGTACATTTTGGTCGTTTTCTCAATATCTCGACCTATGAAGAGATAAAAACTTATCTCTTCATCTCGGGATAACAACGCTGAATTTTCCCGGGATGGCGAGTTAATTTATTGAGATCTTGAGAGACACAACTGAAAAGTATCTGTTCAGAAAACAGTCAAATAAAATGTATGGATGTTTGTCCTCTTAGGGCTTCTGTACATTTTCCCCCAGAAACATCTGACTTCTTTTAAATAAATATTATAAAGGAAACTTCTTTATTATCCTGGTGTGTGTTATTAGCAGACGTATATTTGACATATTTAATAATATTTTCTATTTTTTGGTCTCGATAGTGAAATGTCTCCTCTTTTCTTTGCCTTTTGTTTGAGCTGCAGTTAAACACCTGGATTATTAATTAGCAGCTGGCTTGTGACGTAATGCCACGTGCCCCAGTCGTAAATCATCGCCTTTTTCCGTAGCCTCTCGCGCCACTCTCGAGGAGACGACGCTGCTGATGTCACAGCGCCAGTCGGTCCGGAGCTGAGGAGCTGAAGAGGAGGATGATGAGGATGATGGCGGCCGTCAAGTCGATTTTCTAACAGTCAATTCTGATCAGGAAGCATTCGTGTTTACCCCTCGCGAGGCCAGGTGAACATGGAGGGGCGCGTGTGTCCGGACCAGGAGCAGCTGATCGGGTTTCTGAAGAGGCTGAAGGAGGTTTTCGACGTGTGTGACGAGGATGCTGACGGCTTCATCCGGGTGGAGCACCTGGTGGACCTCGGGCTCCAGTTCGGTCAAGGAGACGAGGAGGTGAGAGGGGGAGAGAGGAAGGAGCTCTGTGACATGTTTAATCTGTTTTTAATCTTAAAACACACGAATAAAAGGTGAATCAGTAACAAGTGCAGACTGATGGACCTTTGAGATTACCTGTGCCATGTTTTTAATGTCACAGTTGAGCTACAGAGGTGCACAAACTGATTATTACCTTCACCTTATAAAGGACTAGATCTACCTGCCATGTTTGATTCCTCCTTATCAAGAACTCTGCTGTGTTTGTTTTAAATGTCATTAAACCAGAAACAGATTATATAAAGTGAGTTCAGGTACACTGGGGCAGTTTTTCTACAATTCTACAATTCACTTAGCAGACTCTTTTATCCAAAGCGACGTACATCAGAGAGTAAGTACAACACAAGCAAGGATCTAGAAAAAAGGGAACAATGTCAGTAAGAGCAAACGATCAGCTTTGAGTGAGATTGGACACACAGGTGCTGACAGGAAGTGACCAGAAGCAAAGCACAACATTGACGGCAGTTCTAGAGAGCTCTAATCAGTATAGAAATCATCTTATAAGTCGTCGTTATCAAACAAAAACCAACCGTCATTACCATCATCATCATCAATAATAAGGGCGACCATCATCATTAGGTTAGAAGATATTCATGAAAGAGCTGGGTCTTTAGCTTTTTCTTAAAGGTGCAGAGGGACTCTTTTTTGAATTTCCTTTCCTTGAATTTCCATCTTCTGTTAGCTTTCTTGAAGAGATGCACCGAGCTGGAAAACAGATACCGATATTTGAATAAACAATTTGTGGTTCTGACGGAACACAGTGCAGAGGGACTATGTTGAAACTGGCAGAAACTCCCTCAATGGCAAACATTTTCTCTCGTGTTTGACAATGAAAACAAGTCAGAGTTTTTGAATCGGTTGTCAGGTGAACGTGATGTCGGCTTTAAATTGATTTGACACAACAAATAAACATCGGCTGCTGACGTCGCTTCATGCCACATTAGGTGCCGATATTGGTGCATTCCGACCTTCTTGACGTGATTTTAAAAAATGAAGTCCAGCACCTGATACCTTTCTATAACACTGAAGATGTGAGCTTAACATGAGGGGGAAAAATGCATTAAGATTTAAAGTCAGAGTTTGTAAATCCCACCACCAGGGGGCTCTCAATCAAAACATTAATAAAAATTACGTCAAGGCTGGAAAGGAATCATGGGAGTGACTCTCTGCGTCTCCATCCCCCCCAACCCCGAGCAGAGCTGCTGCTGGACTGCAGAAACCAGGAAGTGGTTCCTAACATTATTGTGCCGACAAACAGGAAACAAAGCGCTCATCATTTCAGATTCTCAGTTTTCTGAATGCAGCGGAGATAGTCGTATGCGCACAGCGTTTATGTAGAGTGCAGGTGAGGTGAGGTGAGCGCAGATGGCTGCAGGTTAGCCTCAAGGTGACTCTGATTGGTCCATTTGCTTGTTTACCGTATCGGCACAGGGCAGCACCTCGCTCCTGCAGGTTCAGTGTCATGGAGAGTCCACTGCAAGTCCAGTGACGCATTTTCTCTCTGAATGTTTTCTTCCTGATTATTTTAAACCTTTGGAGTGATAGCTGCAGAGAGCTGCTTCCAGTTTCTCTTTCCAGCTGTTGTTGTTGTTGTTGTTGTTGTTGTTGTTGTTGTTGTTTTTCAGTCTGCTTCAGCCCATGAGTTATTTAGAAATCTGAAAGCCGTCTTATTAACAGAATGCAGATACACTTATAGAGGAGTTAATAGTGGCTCAAGATGGTTTGTTTTTACGCTAAATTGTCTGCAGATTTTATATGTTGCAGGGAGAAGAGACGTGATTTTAATACACCGGCATGTTTTTGAAGGTTGTTGTGTTAAAGGTCACATGATGTTAAATCCTCTTTTCCATGTTTCTCTAACTCTAATATGTGTCTCTAGTCTGTCTACAAACCCCCCAATCATGAGAAAAGTCCATCCTCTCCGTCTTCTGTCTGCTCCACTTTTCAGAAAATGTGTGCTCAAACAGGCTGTTTGGAGATTTCCCCTTCATGACATCACAAAGGGCAGTAGCCCCTCCCCCAGGTGGGTGACACTCCCACAGCTAGGTGTTTGTTCTGCTCTCTGAGTCTGCCTTCTCACCATAAACAATAGGACATGGAGCGAATAAGCACCGAGACAACCAAGCCCTTCCAGAGAGGGGGCGTGGTCAAACACAGCTCTTTTACATATTTAAAGGTACAGACACTGAAACAGCCTGTTCTGAGCAGGGCTGAAATAGAGGGGTTTAGGCATGATCAAATTCAGGATCAGAGTGGATTTAGAACAAGAAACTTCTCACACATGTTTTGAGGAGCTCTGAGACTTATTTAAACTGAAGAAGAGGAGGAGAATATGTCACCTTTAAAGCTCAGAGTCTGACAGTTTTAGAGGAAGTTCCCTGAGATTGTAGGCATGAATGAATCTTAAGACATTTGATGTTGAATCCTGAACCTCAATAGTTTGCAATGTCCCTGAACTCACTAAAACCTAATAAAGTGGTTTAATTACTCAAACAGGGAGGCTGCTAACTTTCACATCCTCCTGCAAACATTTAAACAGGAAACGGTCTGGAAGGATTTTTAAATCATGCAAGGATTCATGTGAAGTGATGGATTCAGGTGACGGTAAACAAGCCTCCTTTCCCTTCATGCCCGGGTAAAATAGTTATCAGAGTAATGCTCTGTGACGCCAGGTTATCTGGAGACCGCTGTGAAAAACACGAGTTGGAAAAAGAAATGTGAGTCAGTATTTCGAATGTTCGGGTTCATAAATCCTGAGTGTGTCGGATAAACTGTTTCTCACAGTGAGAGTAGATTTTCCTCTGAGCCGTCATGGCCGCTGAGCAGCCCGAACACGTCACTAAAAATAACTCACAGGAAGCTTCTTCTTCTTCTTCTACTACTTCATCTTTATCGTCCTCCTCCTCCCTCTCATCTCTGTGTTCTCTGTTACCATGGACACCGGAGCTTCATGGGGGAGGCTGCGAGCTGATTGGTTGCATTTAAATAAATGAAATGAAAGCAGCCAATCAGACAGCCTGGTTGCAGAAGCTGTGTGTTTACATTTGTGGGATTTAGGAAATGGGACAATCAGTGTTTTTTTTAATTAACTGCAGCTTTATTCCTCATGAGGATTAAAGCTGCTTTAAATACAAACGTTTGAGAAACACGAGGACAAGGGAAACATGTCTAAACACTTATGCTTTATTTAACTGTGACTCTTGTATATTATCAACACAACATTTTACAACAAATGCAATATTATAGTTGAAGCTTATTTTAGGAAGTATGATGTTTAATTTGATTTAATAATGCTACAAAAACCTGAAACTTGCTGAAGATAAATGGTCCATTTGAAGGAAACATGTTGAATTCTTCTGCTAAATTGATCTTATCATTGTTGGCGTATTATTACTAATTAGCAAACTTCTTAAAGGTCCAATCAGTGAGCAGTGTAGAGAGTGAAATGATAAAGTGATCTTACTATATGATCAGACATTAAGGAAACATGCTGCATGTTGAAGTGCTGGCTTCTCTGACAACAATGCAGCAGCCAGTATGTCCTCCTTCTAACTTTAGATTCTGCTCCTGAATGCTCTGGATTTGTTTGGGCCTGATAATGTAGGAGGTTTTTAAGACACCCCCACACGGCCGTTTTGGACGCCCCTCAGTTTGCCAGATATGAGAGCAGTTATCAGGTCAACAGGTGTTGCAGCGATGGAAGCGGGCAAGAGAAGTGGTTCAGATAGAAGTGATTGTACTCGACCTAAAAAGCCTCTGCATGTTTCTAATAAGCTCCACGAGCAGAAACGTGCTCAAACTAGGATCAATATTGGAGATGCTTTTGAAAAATGGAGAGAGGTTAGAACACAGAAAGGATTACAGACCGATGCAGAGCTGGATAAACACTGAAGCTTCAGTGTCCACCACATGGCAACCTGCGTGAGCATCGACTCTAGAGAGGGGGTGGGGGGGAGAGACAGCTCTCTACAATGTTTAGAATTTAGACTGCAGTACCCATTTTAAACACTAGTGGTCAGAGTTATATTGTATTGCTGTCGGAGAACAATAGCATGCAGTTTGTATGATTTATTTACTGCACACCATCAAATCGTCCAGCCTCTCCAGATGAGCCTGTGTTATATTGAAGAGTGTGTCAGTGTTTGATGTGAAAGTGATGACGCGGCACAGTGTGAGGTTCAGCTGCACAGCATGTTGACATTTATATTACAGCCTGTGTGAACGTGTGTGAGAGCGAGATAACCGTCTTAAGCTCCTGTGCAGGTCGACAACAGTCAGCTCTGTATAAATCTTTCAGACTCCTAGACTCTCGGTCTCACCTTGTGTTCTGTGTGAAGAGGAGTCGATGAAGGTGCAGAAAAAAAGCCCTGAGGGGGAAACGTGTGACGTCGTCAGTAGATCTCAGACTCGAGGACACAGCAGATCATTAGAGAGGAAGTCTGGAATCTTCATATCGGCCGTAATGGCTGCAACACAATTCTTAATTGATCCTAGTTGCGTCCTTGTTTGTCTCCTCAGGTGAAGAAGTTGACTCGGTACCTGGATCCTAACGCTCACGGGAGGATTAACTTCAAAGACTTCTGCCACGGCGTGTTTGCCATCAAAGGTCAGAAATACACAGCACATATAAATATAAATAATTCAACATGGAGGGGAGTATCAGGCAGTAGAGTGCAAGGAAACATACAGCAGAAGATGGCTGAAGGAAGGAAGGAAGGAAGGAAGGAAGGAAGGAAGGAAGGAAGGGAGTGGAGGAACAGGAGAGATGCAGACATGACGGTGTGTTCAGACTGCAGTTTATCCTCACTTCCTTCCTTCCCCCATCCTTCCTTCTCACTCTCTTGCTTCCTTCCTGCCTTCCCTCCTCCTTCTCTTGCTTCCTTCCTTCCCCCCTTCCTTTCCTTCTCCCTCTCTTCCTTCCTTCCTTCCTTCCTTCCTACCCTTCTCCCCATATTCCTTCCTTCTGTCCTACCCTTCTCCCTCTCTTCCTTCCTTCCTACCCTTCTCTCTCTCTTCTTTCCTTCCTTCCTACCCTCCTCCCTCTCTTGCTACCTTCCTTCCTTCCTTTCCTTCTCCCTCTCTTCTTTCCTTCCTTCCTTCCCTCCTCCCTCTCTTGCTTCCTACCTTCAGGTTGTGAGGAGATCCTGAAGATGGCCGTGGGTCCACGTGGTGTTCAGCTGTCCAACCAGCCGTCGGTTACCGACAACGGTTACATTTACCAGGTACGATCTGTAAACTCTGAAGGTCACAATTGTACAGTGAAGGGGTGCGAGCCTCATGATTGTACAGAGGGGGCCGTCCTCGTCACAGCGGCCACGGGTTTGAATCCCCCCGCTCTCTCTCTTCAGCTGTCCTCTCTAATAAAGGCAACCCTCGACCCCCCCCCCTCAATAAATAAATAATAATGGTAAAGTGTCTTAGTGCCCGGCATAACAAATCCTTTTTTACTTAACTTTGAAGATCTTGAATTTAAAACAAAACTCCGTACGTCTCATCGTTTCTCTGATGTAAATATTCAAGGTATAAATATTACAGTGCATGACCGACATTTCTCCACTAGAGAGCAGCCCAGTTGTACGGTTGCTTAGCAACACAAGATTGAGTGAAGAGAGAGAGAGAGAGAGAGGTGGAGGTGTGGCTTTATCCCTGCTGCTGAAACATCAGCGCGCGTGTGAGATGTGAGATGAGAGAGAGAGAGAGAGAGAGAGAGAGAGAGAGAGAGAGAGAGAGAGAGAGAGAGAGAGAGAGAGAGAGAGAGAGAGAGAGAGAGAGAGAGAGAGAGAGAGAGAGAGAGACTTCAGGTAGCAGGAACACGGAGGATTCTCGTTCTTCATCTTCAACCATGTGGGAGAACGTATGTTTACTTGGACTACACACACACACTCGCACACGGTGACTGTTGTGGAGACGCATGGCGTGCAGCTGATCTGTAAGGTGTGTGTCTGTGAGTGTTTACGTGGTAATTTAAGATGAAGCGGTGGTTAATTTAATGAGCTCATGACGCTGTTTGAGGATCTTAGTTTCCTGTGACGCTGATTTCACTGAGAGGTGGTCGTTTGAATTAACCTTCTTATTTCACTGACTTCATCAAACCGTCTCTGAGAGTAAACGTTTTAACGGTTCTTAACGATAGATTTGACTCAGACTCAGCTCGATGAAGACGCCTCGATGACACTGTAAATTATTCAAATGGATTAAAGTCGGACTTTTTCGGTTTTTAATCAGCTGCAGTTGGTGTCCTCCCTCACAGGTGTTTTCACTCAGGTAGGCTGATTACAGCTGTGTGTGTGTGTGTGTGTGTGTGTGTGTGTGTGTGTGTGTGTGTGTGTGTGTGTGTGTGTGTGTGTGTGTGTGTGTGTGTGTGTGTGTGTGTGTGTGTGTGTGTCTACCCATACAACAACAGTTTCTTAAACTTTAATTATCTTCCGCTTTTCGGCCATTTTGGATTATAACAAGCAGGATGTTTTCATATTTTGGTTTTGATCCTTTCACACACGCCTCTTTTTCTTAGACATAAACATGTGTATAATTGATGAATGAAAGCGACACAGCTTCCCCTCAGAGACGAGACTACGTCTGCACGACTGTGTGCGTGCGTGCAAATCAATAGAAAGAAGGACGATCTGAAGTCAAATCAGCTGTTTGTTATTTTAGATGTTAATGTGTTATTTTGTGAGTGTGCGTGTGTGAGAGGTTTGAGGTGTGTGTGTGTGTGTGAGTTGCTCGGCATCTGACCTCAGTTTTCTGAATCCAGACGGTCGTGTGCATTATTGATGACGCACAGATCTGCTGCACGCCTCATCCCTCTGTTGTCTCTGATGAATCCACCAAGGATACCGTCTCCAGGTGGAGAGTCCTGCACGGGTCCAATTTTACAGCCCCGCATCCCCTGACTCAGGGTGATTCCACACCGAAGTCAGTTTGGAGAAGTCGTTCTGAAACCAGCGGGCGTTTCCCTCCTTCGCCCCGTTTGTTTGCCCGTGTGAACACAAACAATCGCACTCTGATGCAAATAATTCAGACGGCGTCTAACATGTAAAAGACGTGTCGATAAGATATTTGACCTCCTTGCAAGTCAACCACGACTCATTCTGTTGGCAGTTTAACGAGCCAGCGTCTTGGAGGCGTCCAGTACGCATGACATTTGTTTACCTGCGCAGTGGGGAAAGGAGGCTGTGAGGTAATGGCGTCTGGACAGCCCGGCGTCCGTGTGTGAGAAAATGCAGCGATGATGTCATCAGAATCAGAACAAAAGCAGACGAGCTTAAGGTGTGAAAACCTCCTTAAACTGAGGTGTAGAATATAAAGCTTCATATAATTACAAATATATTCAAAGGGAGGTAAAAGTTATTTGCACAGAAGTTAAGAGAGACAGCTTGTGATGTTTTTATTTTTTAATCATGCCGATGTGTTTTTGTGTGTGCAGAACGGTCAGGCCAAGCTGGCCCCACCCATCATCATGTGTACGCGGTCCTACCCAGAATGCAGTGGGTTCGGAGAGGGTTGTGGGGCTGAAGGCGAGGTCGACATGGACAGCAGCGCCGAGAACGCCAACAGCTCCGACTCTCTGGACCCGACACGGCGAGACAGGTGAGACATAAATCCACTTAGACGATTAAAAAAACATATTGAACCTTTAAGTCATTTTAAGATATCTCAGTAAAGCGTTAAGGTAAATAAAAACTTGAATCAGTGTTTAGAATAGTTTTTGGTTTGAGAGTTGTATTTGAACTTTCTGTGTTTCTCACTCGGACTCCCAGCCGCCTGCGGGGCTCTGCGTCTGCGTCCGTCATCTCTGGAGAGGAACAGTTCGAGGACTACGGCGAGGGCGAGGACGTGGACTTCACTCCCAGCAGCCCCTGCCCCGAAGAAGACTCCAGAACAAATGGCTTCTCGGACCTCGGCTCCTCCCTCCCCTCCAGGTTTGTGGTCTTTTTTGTTTTTTATTTGGATCCTCCATTAGCCGTACCTACTCTTCCCGGGGTCCACTCACACAAACATGAATTTAAAATCCACAGAAATTAAATTATAAAAATAAAAAAAAGTCTTAAGACGGAACAGAAAAAGAGAAAAATAGAAATAAATGACAACACAATAAGTACAAGAGAGAGAGAATGGTAGGAGGAAGAAAGAGAGGGAGAAAGGAAGGAAGGAGGGAGAAGGGTAGGAAGGAAGCAAGAGAGGGAGAAGGGTAGGAAGGAAGGAAGGAAGGAACAGAGGGAGAAAGGAAGGAAGAGAGCGAGAAAGGAAGGAAGGAAGATGGGGAGAAGGGTAGGAAGGAAGGAAGATGGGGAGAAGGGTAGGACGGAAGGAAGAGAGGGAGAAGGAAGGAAGATGGGGAGAAGGAAGAGAGGGAGAAGGAAAGGAAGGAAGATGGGGAGAAGGAAGAGAGGGAGAAGGGTAGGAAGGAAGCAAGAGAGGGAGATGGGTAGGAAAGAAGGAAGGAAGAGAGGGAGAAGGGTAGGAAGGAAGGAAGATGGGGAGAAGGGTAGGAAGGAAGCAAGGGAGGGAGAAGGGTAGGAAGGAAGAGAAGGAGAAGGAAGGAAGGAAGGAAGGAAGGAAGATGGGGAGAAGGGTAGGAAGGAAGGAAGGAAGGAAGAGAGGGAGAAAGGAAGGAAGATGGGGAGAAGGGTAGGTAGGAAGGAAGGAAGAGAGGGAGAAAGGAAGGAAGATGGGGAGAAGGGTGGAAAGGAGGGAAGGAAGAGAGGGAGGAAGGAAGGAAGATGGGGAGAAGGGTAGGTAGGAAGGAAGGAAGAGAGGGAGGAAGGAAGGAAGATGGGGAGAAGGGTAGGAAGGAAGGAAGGAAGAGAGGGAGGAAGGAAGGAAGATGGGGAGAAGGGTAGGAAGGAAGAAAGGAAGAGAGGGAGGGAGGAAGGAAGGAAGATGGGGAGAAGGGTAGGAAGGAAGGAAGGAAGGAAGAGAGGGAGAAAGGAAGGAAGATGGGGAGAAGGGTAGGTAGGAAGGAAGGAAGAGAGGGAGAAAGGAAGGAAGATGGGGAGAAGGGTAGGAAGGAAGGAAGGAAGAGAGGGAGGAAGGAAGATGGGGAGAAGGGTAGGAAGGAAGGAAGGAAGAGAGGGAGGAAGGAAGGAAGATGGGAGAAGGGTAGGAAGGAAGGAAGAAGAGGGGAGGAGGAAGGAAGGAAGATGGGGAGAAGGGTAGGAAGGAAGGAAGAGAGGGAGGAAGGAAGGAAGAGAGGGAGAAGGAAAGGGAGGGGGCAGGAAGGAAGGAAGGAAGGAAGAGAGGGAGAAGGGAAGGAAGGGGAAAAGGAAGGAAGGAAGCAAAAGAGGGAGAAGAGAAGGAAGGGGGGAAAGAAGGAAGGAAGCAAGAGAGGGAGAAGGGAAGGAAGGAAGGAAGCAAGAGAAGGAGGAGGAGGGAAGGAGGGAAGGAAGCAGGAGAGTAAGAAGGAAAGGAAGGAAGGAAGATGGGGAGAAGGAAAGGGAGGGGGGCAGGAAGGAAGCAAGAGAGGGAGAAGGGAAAGAAGGGGGAAAGGAAGGAAGGAAGCAAGAGAGGGAGAAGGAAAGGAAGGGGGGAATGAAGGAAGGAAGCAAGAGAGGGAGAAGGAAAGGAAGGGGGAAAGGAAGGAAGGAAGGAAGCAAGAGAGGGAGAAGGAAAGGAGGGAAGGCAGGAAGAGAGGGAGGAGGTAAGGAAGGGGGGAACGAAGGAAGAGAGGGAGGAGGTAAGGAAGGGGGAAGGAAGGAAGGAAGTGAGGGAAGGTTGCAATAGACGGAGGAGGGAAGGAAGGAAAGGATTAGGATGAGAAGATGAACCTGTCGCATCTCTCAAATCGTGACATCATCAGTGTTGGACAAATCTTTACATGTGGATGTTTATATGTTGATGTTTACATGTCGATGTTTACATGTCGATGTTTACATGTGAATGTTTATATGTTGATGTTTACATGTGGATGTTTACATGTTGCTTTTTACATGTGGATGTTTAAATGTTGATGTTTACATGTTGATGTTTACATGTCGATGTTCACATGTTGATGTTTACATGTGGATGTTTATATGTTGATGTTTACATGTCGATGTTTACATGTCGATGTTCACATGTTGATGTTTACATGTGGATGTTTATAGGTTGATGTTTACATGTGGATGTTTACATGTCAATGTTTACATGTTTACATGTTGATGTTTACATGTGGATGTTTACATGTGGATGTTTACATGTTGATGTTTACATGTTGATGTTTACATGTTTATATGTTGATGTTTACATGTGGATGTTTACATGTCGATGTTCACATGTTGATGTTCACATGTTGATGTTTACATGTGGATGTTTACATGTGGATGTTTACATGTTGATGTTTACATGTTGATGTTTACATGTGTTGATGTTTACATGTGGATGTTTACATGTGATGTTTATATGTTCACATGTTGATGTTTACATGTGGATGTTTATAGGTTGATGTTTACATGTGGATGTTTACATGTCAATGTTTACATGTTTACATGTTGATGTTTACATGTGGATGTTTACATGTGGATGTTTACATGTTGATGTTTACATGTTGATGTTTACATGTTTATATGTTGATGTTTACATGTGGATGTTTACATGTCGATGTTCACATGTTGATGTTCACATGTTGATGTTTACATGTGGATGTTTATATGTTGATGTTTACATGTGGATGTTTACATGTCAATGTTTACATGTTTACATGTTGATGTTTACATGTTGATGTTTATATGTTGATGTTTACATGTGGATGTTTACATGTGGATGTTTACATGTCAATGTTTGATGTGGATGTTTACATGTTGATGTTTACATGTTTACATGTAGATGTTTACATGATGTTTACATGTTGATGTTTACATGTGGATGTTTACATGTTGATGTTTATATGTTGATGTTTACGTGTCGATGTTTACATGTTTACATGTCGATGTTTACGTGATGTTTACATGTTGATGTTTACATGTCGATGTTTACATGTTTACATGTCGATGTTTACATGTTGATGTTCACATGTTTACATGTTGATGTTTACATGTCGATGTTTACATGTTGATGTTCACATGTTTACATGTTGATGTTTACATGTCGATGTTTACATGTCGATGTTCACATGCTTGAATGTTGATGTTTACATGTTGATGTTTACATGTCGATGTTTACATGTTGATGTTCACATGTTTACATGTTGATGTTTACATGTTGATGTTTACATGTCGATGTTTACATGTCGATGTTTACATGTCGATGTTTACATGTCGATGTTCACATGCTTACATGTCGATGTTTACATGATGTTTACATGTGTTTGTGATGCAGTGCGGGTCAGACTCCTCAGAAGATGCGTCAGCTGTACGGCAGCGAGCTGTTAGACGTTTACTGCTCTCAGTGCTGCAAGAAGGTCAACCTGCTGAATGACCTTGAGGCTCGACTACGAAACCTGAAGGCCAACAGGTGGAGCGCACCTTTTTTTATTTATCTCCAACTCAAACAAATCCCGTTTATTGTTTCACTAAAAGACTCGTTTTTATTTGTGTTTCAGCCCGAACAGAAAGATCACCAGCACGGCATTCGGACGGTGAGTGAACCGACTCTTCATCTGACTGAGCGTGTTTGCATGGCGAGCGCTCTCTAACAGATTAAAACTATTTATACAGTCTGGTCTCGCTCTCCGTGCATGTTGTTGTTGTAGTTGTTTTTTTTTAAACGTGTCTCGTCCTCTCTGCAGTCAGCTGTTTCACGCCAACCACAGTGTGTTCGGCTCGAGTCAGGGCAGCAGCACCGAGGATCTGTTCACCGACAGCATCGACTCCTGTGACCTCGACATCACTGAAAAAGTACAAACACACACACACACACACAGAAACACACACAGAGTTATAACGGCCTGGATGTGACTCAGGTGTTAATATGAGCTTTGTGTCCCTCAGGTGAGTTATCTGGAGAAGAAGGTGACGGAGTTGGAAGGAGACAGTTTGGCGAACAACGACCTGAAGTCTAAACTCAAACAGGAGAACACACATCTGGTTCACAGGTGAGAAAACTCTCTCTCTCTCTCTCTCTCTTCTCTCTCTCTCTCTCTCTCTCTCTCTCTCTCTCTCTCTCTCTCTCTCTCTCTCTCTCTCTCTGCAGAATAAACATCTCAACATAACCTCACGTCATGCGTCCTTTAAATCTGTGTTTGCACGTCAGGGTGCACGAGCTGGAGGAGCAGGTGAAGGACGCGGAGGCGAGGGCGGATCAGACTCTGGAGGAGGAGACGAAGAGACACCGCGAGGCGTTCAGCAAGATGGAGCGAGACCGAAACACGGAGATCGACCTGCTCTGCAACAGGTGAACTCAAAAAAAAAACACAACATGAAGAGACATATACTCCCCCCCCCCGTAGATGAGGCTGTATGGTAGTGTACCATGCCTCTCGCCCAATGAGTGCTGGGATCGGTTCCAGCCCCCGCGACCACGAGCAGGAAGAAGCGGTATAGATAATGGATGGATGGAAAAAAAGGCACACTGCGTCCAGAGACTTATTCTAAAAGTTGTATAAAATGTTTCTGCTCCCAGACCTTTTCATATAAAACATGTATTTCTTTAAAGGCTTTATATGTGATTTTTTGATCCAGCAGATGTTGCCCTTGAGCTCCAGCATGAAACCAAAACAACTCGTGCTGCATTGTTGTGTTAGCATGCTAATGCTAGCGATCTTTATTATGCTCGTATCTTCACACTGCATGTAAATTTACCTGAAATGAACCTGAAATTACATCGTCCTGACGATGTAAACAAACTGAAGATAGGACTCAGAAAACTCTAAAAGCATCACAGACAGTGGGACTCGGGTGTTACACTCATTGTAGACAGTCATGACTCACAGAGTTATTTTCAGAGGATATACTTGATTTATATTATATTTAAGTGTGAAACATCACATATAAAGCCTTTAATTGTGATATTTGTGATGTGTGTGTTTGTCCTCACAGGGTCCAGCTGTTAGAGGAAGAAAACGACGAGATGAAGTTAAATGTGTGTAGATTAAAGTCTCAGACTGAGAAAATGGATCAGGTGAGCGCGACCGCTTTATAACTACGCACGTCTTTTTCAGAAGGTTACACACACACACACACACACACACACACACACACACACACACACACACACACACACACACACACACACACACACACACACACACACACACACACAGGAAAATCTTTTTTTTTTTTTTTTTTTTTTTAAATGACCTGTCATGTGTGGAATATTCCTCAGCCTTTACCTTCTGAAGCGCAGCTATAAGACCAGGGAGGTTGCTGCTGCTGCACAGTGAACGATGTGGGCTCCCCTAAAGTAAATCTGAGGTCGTTCTCACACCCCCATATCGTTTGCTCTGGTCTGAATCATGGATCAATCTGTTCCATTGTTGCACAATTACCTCAAGTTTGGTCTGTGTTCACACGGGAACTTGAACAAGCGGACGCAAATGTGTGATGTGAGAGGAAAGTGCTCTCTGATTGTGGTTGGTCCGCGTGCCCCATGTATGGAGGCTGTAGTCCTCCAGTCGGGCAGCCCGGGTTCGAATCTGACCCGTGGCTTCTTTCCCCTCTCTCTCTCCTTGATTTCCGATTCTGTTCACTTGTCCTATCTCGTCAATGAATATATTTTTATTTTATTATTTTTTTTATTTTTATTATTATACTAAACTGAACGAGGACTAGTCGCCTCCTGCCAGGCTGCGGCTGCTCCAAAGAATCTTAACAGTTTCTACACCAGAGTTTGATTGACAGCTTTCACACCAGCACAAATGAACCGCACTAACTTTTCACACCTAACCTGTTTGGTTCAGTTAAAACGAACTTGAGTCCGATTGCAAACACCCTCAGACATCACGATCAAAACTACAAACATGAGACTCAGAACCAGAATGATTCTGTATCTCTGTCCTGTCAGTGTAATGGATATAAGATAATGCACTAAGTTAAACTAATAATACATGTTAAAACTAGTGTCTTTCTAAAATGTTATATATCCTTTAAAAGTGCTAAAAAGCTAGTTATAAATTAATGTTAGTTCCTGTTGCGAAGGTTAAGTTTAAAAGCATATCGGTAATTGATTGGTTTGGTCTTAAGCTTTTGTTATTCTTTTACACTTCCGGTTTTACGCCAGCAGGGGGAGCGTAGATGACAGCTCGAGTGAGAGTAATGAAAGTATTTTTCCCCTGCAGGAGAAGCAGAGGATGACGGATAAGCTGGAGGACACGAGTCTGAGGCTGAAAGACGAGATGGATCTCTACAGGAAGATCATGGACAAACTGTGGCAGAACCGCCATGAGTTCCAGAAGGAGAAAGAGGCCATGCAGGAGGTGAGACAGTGAAGCTATCAGACATGTTCAGGTGGAAATGTCGAGCGGTTTTATCTGATGATCTCTGTTCTCCTGCAGCTGATCGACGACCTGCGGCGAGAGCTGGAGTATCTGCAGTGTTTCAAACTGGAGATGGAGCATCCGGGGAAAGGGAAGAGTCTGTCTGAGCTCAACGCTCGCACCAGAGAGATGGAAATGGAGAATGAAGTCAAGAGACTGAAACAGGTTAACACATTAAGGAAACATGTTGAAGTGCTGGCTTCTCTGACAACAATGCAGCAGCCAGTATGTCCTCCTTCTAACTTTAGATTCTGCTCCTGAATGCTCTGGATTTGTTTGGACCAGAGAAGGTAGGTGGTTTCAAGGCGACCCCCCCCCACACGGCCGTTTTGGATGGCTGCCCCTCTGTTTGCCAGATATGAGAGCAGTTATCAGGTCAACAGGTGTTGCAGTGATGGAAGCGGGCAAGAGAAGTGGTTCAGATAGAAGTGATTGTACCCGACCTAAAAAGCCTCTGCATGTTTCTAATAAGCTCCACGAGCAGAAACGTGCTCAAACTAGGATCAATATTGGAGATGATTTTGAAAAATGTTTTTTTTTAAAGTGGTAACCTCTCTGATGAACTCAAGTTGTTGTTGTTGTTGTTGTTGTTGTTTATTTCTCAGGAGAACTACAAACTGCGAGATCAGAACGACGACCTGAACGCTCAGATTCTCACTCTGAGTTTGTACGAGGCCAAAAACCTGTTCTCCTGTCAGAGCAAGGCGCAGTGCCTCGCTGCCGAGATAGACAACGCGTCCCGAGACGAGGTCGGTCTGACTCCCCTGGTCGTGTTTGTCTGTTTTTAAAATAATGTTTGATATGAATGATCCTCTAATTTAATCCGCCTCTCTCTCTCTCTCTCTCTCTCTCTCTCTCTGTGTCTCAGCTCGTGGACGCTCTGAAGGAGCAGGAGGAGATCAACCTGCGTTTGAGGCAGTACATGGACAAAATCATCCTCGCCATCCTCGACCACAACCCGTCCATCCTGGAGATCAAGAGCTAAACGACACACACGCAGAAACACGCACAGACTCACACACACACCCGTGTAATACACCCGACTATTAGCTCGAACATTTAAGTTATAATCCATAAGATTCCCGTCCTGACAGCTCTCGGAAGTGATACTACGGCAGGTTACAGAAAAAAACTACAAATCCCAGAATTCAGTGGGCAGGAAGTTACAGGAAGTGCAACAGAAGAGCAGCTTGAATGAATTATACGGATTATAACTTTAAACTGGAGCCTTAACAATGAATGTTCTCACTGCTTGTGACTCAAACTGTCGCTCTCACACACACACACACACACACACACACACACACACACACACACACACACACACACACACACACACACGAGCAGATGATCTTAGATCACTTATCAGTCTCTGTAGACGCACTCTGCCATGCTTAGTTTATCCGCCCGTCTTTAAGTAGTTTGAGTTTAATATTTCATCTTTAAAGAAATGAAACAAGATTAGTAAACGTGAGTCTGACACGCTCTCTCACGCTCAATGTTTTAGTGTCCAACCCTTTAAACCCGTCCAGGTGAATTCTCCTGATTATATCCTGCTGCGTTCTCAACTCTGACTTTCTGCAGAATAAATACGAGGAGGCTGGAGGTGTTTACACATGCGGCTCCTTACAGTAAATATCAGGAGGTTTGTTCAGGTGTGAAGGTGCTACATGTCTGTGAGGGAGAATCCAGTGCTGTGAAACGAACCTTCAACCAGGACGGGTTTCATGATGAAGGTTTGTAAACGTGCCAAAAGTCAACATAATGTGCCAAATCTGAAAGAAGCTCGAGTGATTTCTACACGCAGGAAGAGTTTCCTCGTTTGACTCTTATAAAAGTGAGAAATGAAACTTAAAAAAAACCTGATTGGATGAAAAGGTCAAACAATCTGCCAACACGAGCACCGTCAGCTCAAATTGTTTGCAAGTTTCAAACTCAGTAGGAAACAAATAATTTAGATCTGCTCGTCTGCCACTCAGAGTGCTGTGAAGCTTTGTTTTTTAAGAGGTTGCGTCCCCTGTTTATATTGTATTACATGTAAAAAAATATATATATGAATTTGTAAACGCGACGCTGACACACTCTCACATGCTCAATGTTTTAGTGTCCGACCCGATGATAAAGGTGTTGGTAATGTGGCGTTAAACTTTAGAAAAAAAACACAAAGCAGAGTGTGAACAGCAGCATAAAGAGATGAAGTAAAAAGCAATAAAACAATCAGATTTACTGAAGTTGTTTTACCGGATTGGCTGCTGTTTTGCACATTACTAGATTTCACAGATTAATTAATTATTTCTAGAAACTAAGATAATAATATGAAACAATCTCTTCATTATCTGATGCCTTCATGGTCTTCATGAATGTGGGAGAAAAACGTTACTCTTCCTGTTTTGTAAATGATCCTCACTCTGAATGATTTAACTTTTCTCCACTCAGTGCGGCGTTTATAAACCAGCCGACCACCAACCAGCTGACACTTGGGCGTGTCACTGAGAGACGAGCACGTGGCGTTAGTAAAGTTTTCCTTCATTGCACAAAACGTTCACTAAGTGAGGAATTGATTAGCTCGTTTTTTTTTGTCACTTATTCTTCATGAGGTCTGTGATTTTTTTTTTTTCTTTGACATGTTGGCATCACGGCCGTGTTTGTGGTTTCAAACGTTGTAAATGTTGTACAGAATCGCTTCACTCATCACTTATTTAAAGGACTCTCTGAGAGTTTGGACACAAAATAAGACATGTTGTAGATTATAATCCGCACTTTAAGGTGTTTTAGCCGAAGTATTTAATAATAATAATAATAATTATAATATCAATCATTAAAAAATATATATTTCAATCTGTCACCTCTCACGTGTCTTCACTTGATTTATTTGACGTGTATCGCACATGAACATCTGGACGACTCAATGTGTAAATAAAATACTTTAGCTTTGGCACGAAAACGTTTCCCTGGTTGTTTTTTTTATCTCTGCTGCAGGATCCTGGAATAGAAGATGGTTTTACTCTTAGAGCTGGCTGCACATGAGGATTGTAGTACGGTTATTTTCCTGCTCCTGATCGAGTCGCAGCCTCTCAGATCTGAAATCATAAATATGTAAAAGTCTTTGACCCGCAATGCATGATGGTATATATTGCTTGGATAGTGATCACGGATTGTACACACAGACTGTAAATATTGCACTACTTTTCACAATGCATTGTGGGATACAATGAGTCCACTATATGGACAGATGTGGAGATTTTTTTCTACAATTTAAATCACAAAAAAACCTAAAAGCTGCTAAATTTAAAAGCAAAGAAACGACCAGCAGCCTGTTGCGCCACAGTTTAAAAAAAATATATATTTTAACCGAAGTCCCGCCTCTGACCACACCAAAAGCCAATCCTTGTTTAGGCACATGGTTGGTCATCTAGATTTCAAGGAGGGGCCCATGCCACCCCTCTGGACACACCCCTGGTTTTTGTGAAGAGGAGAGAGAATTGAGGAAATCAGTAAAAGTTGTTTTTTTTAAGTGACTTAAGAGTCCCAGAAGCTTCAGAAAAAAGACTGAAAATGTGTGCATGTGTATTTCAGCCTATATGTATATATGAGTGTAAAGGTACTTTTCTGTCCTGGGATTATAAAGGATATCTTCTTCTAAATAAATAAAATGTCAAACAGAGCAAAATAAGAATCGGGCAAAAACAAGTTTTCTTATGGATTCTGTTATAGGCCTACTATATTGTTATTATATTTATTATTAGGTCCCGTGGTGTTTATTGTTTTACAGTGTTGGATTTAACTTTATTTCTTAAAACATTTACAAAGCATTTTCCTTGTCAAAGATCGCTGCAGTTACACTCCGGTCCAGCAGGTGGCGGTAACGATCTGTGTGCTCCGATATGCCCGCCGCCAAAACGCTCATTTCACTGAAGAAATATTTTTCTTTTCGGAAGGAGATCCTTACAAAGCGGCCCTATTTCTTTTTTCAGCCAGAAAAAAAATAGTCTTAGAATCTGAAAACCGACGATGTACGCCAGGACAAACACCGGCAGCACACACGGAGACTTTCAGGACAGAAACGGAGTGAACTATGTGACATCGACGGAGACTTTCGGCCACTGCTCCCAATTGTTCTGGAAAAAGGATCCCAACGACTCCGGAGTAAGAAAGCCCTTAAAGCTAGCCGACATACGGCAACACAAAAAGCCTCTTACACTAACATTTTACCAGCTGTACTTTTAGGAAAGTGTCATAATTTACAAAGGGTTGTTAAGTGGCTGAAGAACACTCAGTTTAGTAACGCAGAGTAATCTGAAAGAGCGATAAATACACAGAGTCTCCGTTAGCTTCGTGCTAACGCTCCCACCGTCATGCTGAGAGGCTCACGGCCTAGTTTCTCTTTTAGCTGCAAAGCTAAGTGGCTAATGCTGTTACCTCCTTTAAAAGTATGTCCAAGTCGCCGTATGTGAAAAGTTCATTGAGCTTGGACGTGTTTACAATTGTAGTGTAATTGCTTTTGTGAGGAGACGCACAATGCTGAGTAAAATATATAAATGTAGCTTAAGCAGCGCGGAGCTAATGCTAACGCTAACAACACAGCTGAGCTCCGCAAAACAAGCAGCGCGGGGCAGCAGAGGTTTATTTCAGGGGAGAGCTGCGGGTTCAATTTATAAGAGAAGTCTGCACGGGATAATTTACCTGTTAAAGGGTGAATTTGAGCAGCTTAAGGTGAATATTAAAAGCGTAAGGTCTGTAATATTGTTAGCGAACAGCGCAAAGTAAACATGAACAGGCTGTCCCACAGGAAACGGGAGCGGAAGACGCCCCGCGGAGGACTTTGAAAGACCTCTTTGTGGTGCCAGACTGTGAGCTTCATTCATGGCCTCTCTCAGCTCTCAGATTATCTACACAGCACACACACACACATTAATCTATATGTTTGATATTTTAAGTTTATGTGAAGTTCAGGGATCTCTGCTAACTTCAAACCCTCTCTCTCTCCAAAACTGTGGTTAAATTATGAGGAGTCCACCTGTCAATCACCTGACGTCTCTGCTTTAGTCCTCCTACACTGTCTGCATGTAAACAATCATAATTAACACCATTGATCATTCATTTGTTTTGTGTAACCTTAAGGACACACATCACAGGGGAACAGTTTATGTACTCACTCAAAACTTAATGCTTTCAATTAGAGATGTGATAGATACGATCTAATGTCGATATCAGGTCCGATATTGACGTAATTAACATATCGCATCTTGTTGGACTGATGGCAGCGATCCACGTCATCGATCAAGAAAGATCTTTGGGCGCTTTAAACATCCTCGGCTCGCACAGTCTCACTTTGAAGACGTTCAGACCGCACTATAAGGAGTGTCCACAGATCGTCTCCATGACAACAGGAGATGGAGCTCCTCCCTCTATACGACCAAAACAACAACTCTTACACTAAAACATTTAATTTGAAAACCTCACAGGTGTTGCTGCTTTCTTCTTTTTGTAGCCTAACACATAACAACAACAAAATTAATTATGATTGAAAATAACATCGTAATCGAAAAAAATATTATTGATGCATTACAATGCGCAGTTTACTTTAACGTCACCCGTAACAATTAGGAGGGAAACATGCATACAGACGTATTCATTCATTTTCCAGAAGCTGACAATGTTATGCTTCTTTAATGTGGATTCATCTTTAGCTGTGGTCAAACCTCTTCCTGTGTACAGTTTGCACAGTTTTTAGTGATGTTTTTAATCTGTCGAGCTTCTGTTTATTCAGGCGCACGTTGATTCAGGGCAATGCGATAAAGTTTCAGCTCAGACTGGGTTTGATTATTTTCTTATTTAATTTATGATTTATGTTCATTTTTTGTCTCTGCATGTCACCTGTTGCACTCAGTCCCACTGCTCCAAGGAATGAAGCAGAGTGTAGTCATGTAGTTCATAAGCTGCGGCAAGAAAACATGACAAAATGCTCGTACATTTAGCAGGAACCGTTCAGGTCTGGTTGATTTATGCTCGCTTTTTGGTTTCAGTTTGAGGCTCGGCAGGTTTATGTGGACGGAGTTGCTGTCCGTGGTGCTGAGCTGCCTCCCAGAAACAAGCTGCTTTCCTCTTTTCTTGAAGTGTTTTTCAGGAGAGAGGCTTGTGTTTCACTCACCAGTGTTGATCCATATTTAACGTTTCAGTTTGAATTTAAACTTGCACCGTACAACACAAGTTTAATCACCTCAGCAGAGGTTAAAAGAAGGAAGTTTACCTGTTAGTTATTTAATGAAATGCTGCATCGTTTTATTCATGTCATCAAGAAAAGTGTCTGTGTTAATTCTGCACGTTTTGGGACTCGGTGATAATTGTTTTCTTTCGTCTGTGACAGCCGAGTTCGACCATCAGTTGGTGCGATCAGCTTCCGTCTTCCTCCGCCGCCCTCTCCAGCTCCAGCCTCTCTTCGGCGTCTCTCTCCAGCTCCAGTCTCTCCATTGAGTCCAGAGCGCCCGCAGCAGCGCCGCCGACGTCGGCATCAGACGACATGGAGTCTGACGAGAGGCCGTACGTGTGCGATCTGTGCACCTGTGCTTACAAGCACGCCAGCTCCCTGCTCAACCACAAGCTCACCCACAAGACCGGAGACTTCAGGTTGAGACATTTAACACAACTCATTTATATTTTCCTGCGTGTTGTAATCGACTGTAAATGTCTGAATGTTTTTGAATCAGGATATAAATGTCTCTGATATCGTTAATCCCTTTTTAACGTCTGCGATATTTTCCCGTCCCAAACCCAGGTGTGACTTTTGTAGCAAGCCCTACACCAACTACATGTCCCTGCGTAACCACATGAGAATCCACGGTCAGAAGCGTTACATGTGTGACCTGTGTGGGAAGGCCTTCCGCCTTGCCCGGTACCTCCGTAACCACCAGAGGATCCACGACGACGGACCCAATCGCTTCGACTGTCCCTCCTGCTGCAAGAGCTACAGGACCATGCTGGAGCTCGCCCAGCACCGCTGCACCGCCGCCTCGACCAGCCAGGTGAGCCAGTGTGCGCTGTGAAGACAGTAGAGGGTGTGTCAGGCTGCGCTAGAACCTGTTAATAAATATGTGTGGGGAAAAAGGGGGGGTCCGTGCATGTTATCGGAAAGGAAACGCCCGGTAAGCACGCTGTACCAGAGGAGAACGAGGGGTTTGCTGGCGATGCTTTTCTCCTCATGATCGGGCTCTTAAAAATGCAGGAAAACACTACGGACCAGCCGGCTTTGAACTTTGTTTATAGAGAATCCAAATTACCCTTTTAGTGTTCTTTTTTTAACATGATTTATTACAGAGACCTGAAAGATCTACAGACGTCTATCCCCTCGCAAATAAAACAGATCTTCTCAGTAATGGCAGCAAGTTTCACATAAAACGTGTGCGTGTCTGTAACTTCATTCAGCAGCTCTTCAGGTGCCGCGTTCTGAGCTTTCAGTTTGGTTTTACATGAAAACAAAACAGGAAAGTTGCAAACGTTTAAGAATCTAGTGGAATATCATTTGCTTAATGCAAAAGCTTTTTCAGAATACCAGCTGGGTTAAACTGATCATTTGCAAAGACAGAGCGGTTATGTTGCATGTATGAAAATTTAAGCAGCATGCAGTTCCCAGATTAATATTTCAAAGTCTCCCCCTCGTATATCTGTGTCTGAAGGGACACTCCAGTCAAGGGAACTCTAAAAATCCGGGGTTAGAGTTTCTAGGAAGGACTTGACATTTGGCCCAGTTCTCCTCCTTTCACACCAGGAGATGTCACTAGTGCGTCAAAGTGGAGTCCCTAAACCTCTCGTAGTGGCATCTCTTGTTATGAATGAATGACAAAATTGTCCTCCACGACTGCAGCCACTTCAGTGCTCCTTTAAATACCAGGCTGTAATCAAATCTCGAGTCTAAAGAGCTCTCAGTGGCTTCACTCTGCAGCCTCGTTGTTGGAGGCTCTACAGTGCCAGCGTGCAGCACCCTGTGTCTTCAGCTCTGACACGTTGCTGCTTTCACACAGGAGGTGTCACTGTCAATTTCCGCTGCGGCCCGTCAGAGCCACACGACACAGTGCTGTTAGCTGCCACTAATACAAGTGAATTTTTGACGGAGCTTTCTGCAAACACAAACCCCTTTTCACACATACGGAGCTGTATGTGTGAACGCAACAGCCACCTTTTTACTCCGATATTACCCGGAGTTTATCCTGCCAGACCCCTAAATATTTTTTCCACAGATAATCCGGAGGAGTTGATGTGAGAATACAGCAGGATATTCTCCGGAGATTTCAATTACAGCCAATGAAAAGAGAGTGACGTTTATATACAGTGACCGGCTAAAGTGTCTGCCCGCGACCACTACGATCTCCGTGCGTGTAATTAAACGGCTGCATTCTGTTTTCTGTTCGTCAGTATGTTGTTCTCCTCTCTTTTGTGGATGTTGTCATTCCATTGGATTACACATAGCATTGATATAAAGGCAAATATTCTCATTGTAACGTCGTGTAGCGGACTCTGTTGCTACGGCCGATACTTCCGCGTTGTTTATTTACGTCACGTCTTGCGTCGGGAAATCCTGCGCGCCCTCCCCTCTGACAGGGAAAGTCCCCCGCTGTGAGGAGCATATGTGAACGGCTAGGTCAGGAGAATCTCTGGAGAAGTCCTCCTGTAAATATCTAGATATTATCCGGAGAGCATATGTGTAAACGGCTACAGAGAATAGAACAACGCAGACAGGAAGTCAGACAAGAAAACACACAGAGCGTCCGGTCAATTTCAAAATAAAATACAATATCCGGACTCCTGATCGTTTGTTTCATCACTTTATCAACATAACTTAAAAACAGGCACCGTGTGAGCTAAATGTTGTTCTTTTTATTCCCGTATCTTCTAATAGAACTAATCTTGTAGTTCTCCTGTGATCTCGCGAAAGTGTGAGTTGCACAGCTGCTCATGGCTTCGCTCACACCGCAGAAATGGACCCAGTGGGTCAGGACGTGCGCTGACTGAACTCATGGAAATTGTCATTTACGGACTGTAGGTGATGTTCTTCAGCCTGCAGGAGGTGGAGAACGTTACAGCTGCAGCATTTTAAACCTTAATGTTCACGTAGATGTCAGACGCTCTGATGCTGCGGCACACGGCTCGCCTGGTCTGTAGCTCGTTTTCTATCACCACAAGGACGACGGGGGCGCTTTAGTCTCTTAGACCTGCTGTGTGTGTTTATATTAATACGTGTGTGCTAAGACTTTTTGTGTTTTTTTTGCGTGCATGTAACATTTTGTAACTGTGTCCTCTCTCCAGCAGCAGCCTCACACCCTCCCGTAGAGAACGCATGCTGTGCAGTCAGGGTTAGACCAGGGTTAGGCTCAGTTTAGGGACAGGGTCAGGGAATAAAAACACTTCAGTGGATTTTCCTCACAAGTGTAGTAATCCAAATTTATGTGTGTGTGTGTCTGTGCGTGTGTGTATGTGTGTGTGGGGTTTGGTTTAATAAGAACCGGTTCAACTGCCCGTCCTGCTTTAAGAGCTACAGAACCATGCTGGACCTGGCCCAGCACCGCTGCAGCGCCGCGGCCAAAAACCAGGTTGGTGTGAGCGTGAGTGAGCATGTCTCCGTGTGTGTGTGTGTGTGTGTGTGGTGTTTGTGAGGTGGAGTCAGCAGACTGAGCTGTAGCTGTGAGTGAGGATGAATATAAACAGGAGCTTTAGAGGAGCCGAATCCCCAAAACAGGTCAACGTCTGATCGATCTGAAGGTTCAAACTGGTTTAATGTGGCGGGCGGCGTTATCGTGACGCAAACATAGAAGTGTAAACAAACTATCGATGGAATCTGACCACGATATCTCATCCCGTTTGCACAAAAAAACTCCAGGCTAAAGGAGGAAATGTCCTTTTAACTTCATCCCTAAAATGCTGCTTTGTCCTTGAAGAGCGAAACTGACTCGAGCTGCGGGAATAAAATTCTGCCGACTTCCTGATTTCACTTCAGACTTCGAGTTCTGTCACAACCAGGACTACGACTCCAGCCCGTAGAAAAAAATATTTTTTTGCAGGCGAATCTGGTCGTTAAAAAGTTTAAACATGCTGAACATGATTCATGGTTTTTGTACACACAACGGCACATTTCGCCTGTCCTCAACCTGTAGCTTTGTTAACTGCATGTTTTGGAAATATTCACCAGCGGTGAGTTTGAGATGCTCAAGTACATCATCGCATCTTGAAATGTTTCTCTAGATATTCTGTTATCACATCAGAGGATTCAGGTATACGACGCACATCACAATGCTGACTGAAGCTGCAGAAAATATTAAAACTACGGTATGAGAAGCTCCACTTTTCAAAATAAGACGTGGCCTCACAATGTTGCACTTACAGGAGAGACATAAAGCGGACTTCTCTCTCTCTCGTCCTGTGTGGTAATTTTTATTGATAAACCAAAGCCTGCACAGGTATCACAGTGTTTCCCACACATCTCTGTGTGGGAAACACTGGATCGATAGTATTGAAAAGTACCGCAGCTTTAAAAAACAACAACATCTGTTTCATAAGACAGTGTGTCATTTAAAGTGAATCTCAATGCTGATTGGCTTTCACAACTTGTCACACAAATTAAATCCAGTGCCTCGCAGCGGCAAGTTTGCAGTACCAGGTCCCAGTTTGATGACCTTCCAGGATTTCTCTGATGGCGTTCTGCTTCAGCTATGGAGCTCCACTAAAATCGTCTGAAATCTGTCTGAATGCTGCAACATTTAAGGACGATAAACCGGCTGAGAGGACGCTTAAATAACCACATCGGGATAAGAAGTCTGAACATACATTTTGTCTGTCCTGTCTGCAAGAAAAGACAGGAAATAAGCTTTTAAATACTTGTGTTTTTAATGGCGTTTGTTTTAACCGTTTCTGACGCACTGTCGGGGTGTCAGGAGAATCTCTACGCTGATGCAGCATCATGCACATTTCTCTAAAGACTTAAAATGTTTAAACTGCTGCAAATGATGCAACAATTTGTGTCAGTTTGCGTCTTTGCTTTGACTTTGTTTTTTATCCAAGTGTTTGAAAAGTCGGCTTAATTTTGGCCTGAAAACGCCATAAAAGAAAGAGTCGTTAAAGCAAGCGTCTGCTGATATCGGGGGAGGGGCGTAGATGTTGGAGGTGACAGTCTGTGTGAGTGTATCCGTGTGTGTGTGTGCACAAAGTGACCACTCCATCCACTCATACCGACAGGTGTAAAGAGAGGGAGGTTAGTCAGTGTGCAGACTTAACGCAGCGAGCGGTGATTCAGCGTGGAGAAGATTTCATCACACTCATCCGTCACCTCTCCTCCTCTCTCGTCACACGCTGCATGAAGCACAACAACAGGAGTGTGATCACAAAATCTCTTTTTCCTCTCTCCTCCCTCCTCTCGTGCAGTCCGGCAGTCGTCGCAATTTCTCCAACGCTCGCCGTCAGCAGCAGCAGCAGCAACAACAGAATAATGCGAACTCCATGATGCAGCACGGAGGACACGGCCAGGACGCTCTGCCCTCCCACTGCGTCTCCCCGATGTCGCAGCCAGGACAAGGCGGCCAACCGGTGTCTGACCCCCACCAGGTAGGAACGAGAAACCTAATGGCTGATTATTCTTACCAGGGGTGTCCCCGACTGAGGATTAACATAGTCCTGATTGCAGTAGTTCACCTACTGAGCATGCATAAACCTTACTACACACGTCACAGCTTTTTTTAACACACACACAAAAAAAAAACTTTTTGGGTCCCGAGAACCTTTTTTTTTTTTTTTTTCATAAATCTCTTGAACAACTTCAGCCCTGCTCAAAAATATTGAGTAATTATCAGGAATTTAACCAATATTATATTAATTATTCAATATATGATAGTGTTCTATTGGTCTATTAAAAAAAAAAATGAAAAGGTGCATTCCAAAATTTGTCGAGAGACAAAAATTTTTTTTTTTTACAAAAAATGGTGCCATATCCACTAACACAGACAAAATGATGGCCAGATGAAGAGGTAGAATTTGACCAAATGGGCAAAAATGTCCATAGCGATGCATGAGGGTTAAAACAGGAGCTACATTCCCTGAGCCCTTACGACCTCTTACCCGAAGTCTTCTTTAACCTGCTTGTTATGACAACGTGTCTTGTGTGTCTTCCTGCAGGGCCGTCCCAGCTCGGTGTCGTCCCAGAGCAGCCAGCAGAGCATGAGGAGCTCGTCCTCCAACAAACACCACTCCTCCTCCGGCTCTACCCCGTCCTCCTCCTACTCCCTGCTGCAGCCCCTGGTGCCTGAGGTAAAGGAGATGAGCTCGGGATACACTAGGCTGAGCGCCAACCCCATGGTAGGAGAGAGAGCCGCCCACACACACCGCCGTCAGCTCCCCCTGCAGGCTAGCTGCCTCCTCCCTGTCTGAGTACTAACATCAGGAGAGAGGGACTAATATTCTTCAATTCTTAGAGTGTCCACCTGGGAACTCGCTCACCGCTCATGTCTGTTCTCCGAGCTGTTACGGTACAGCGAGGTGATCAGGCGTGAGTCTGAAGAGTTTCCTGGTCGACGCCATCTGAGTGATCTTCTTAAATCCTTCGGTTTCAGCCTGCTGATTTCTTTTGCTAAACTTTTTGTGGCACACATCAAGCTGCGTTTCTACGATATCGCTGGAATACATTTTTGTTTCGTCAAAGAGTAACCAAAAAAAGAGTTCTCAGACTTCATCGCAACACACACTGTGGAAACCCTCTAATGTTAAGATATATCAAGTACAGTAAAAGTAAAACCTGAGCACCTGGAGGAAACACTCGAAAAACCAAACTTAACATCAGTGTGAACTCTGCATCTGTTTTTTCTGGAGACATGGATGTTGTAGTGTGTGACATCCTATCGGCAGCAGAGCCTTCTTTTGTGGCAGTCGGAGCTAAAAGATGTGAGAGCAGAGGCTGATACGGAGGGGTCTTTCACGCCCGTCCGGTCCCAATCCCAAACCACAATTTTTTTTTTTAGAAATCCTGTCCCGTCATAATCCTGGTAAAAAGACTCCCTGCTCCTGTTACACTTCATGTTCTCAGTTTGACAAATCTGGTGATTTTCAGCTGCCCACCTGCTTTTTTAGGTGTTTCTCTTGAGGCCACTCGAGTCTCCGCTGTTTCTCACAATGAAGTTACAAACGCTCGACCGTCACTCTCGACTCTCATGAACTTTGTTAGTATCCGACCAGACGGATAATTGTTTTTAACTTTGCCCTGCAGCTCTGTCTTTCCCGCCTCAGTTATCCCCATGGATGTATTCCAGAAGGTTCTACCTGCTTTCTCTCAATCCATCGTTGTTTGGTTTATGAAGGACTGCAGCGCGTGCATGACTGCGTTTAACCAGCAAGCTGATAGAAATAACAGCCGCAGCTCTCTGTGCTCTGTGAAATAATCCAGCAGACTGAAATCAGCCGCCGAGCTCTCTCTCTCTCTCTTAGACTCTGAACTGAACTGTGACGCCTCTCTGTTGGTGAGACACGACTAACCTTGGGCTGTGCCGCTGACTTTCCTCCACCTTTTCTCACTTTAACACAAGTCATTCTTTCACCTCTGTGTTTCTCACATTTCTGCCTTTTAGTTCTAGCTGCACAATCTCTTCATTCAATCAATTCATCCAATGTAAAATCTGTTTTCTCTTAAAATAATCACAATGCATCAAAAGTTCACAGGAATCAAGAAACGATTCTGTTTGACCTGAAGGTGCTGATAGGACACGGTGTCAGACTTCGAGATAACAGGCTGATTTGAGGTCCGGTGTCCGGACTCGAGGCCGCTCGGAGCCGATTATCTGCACAGATTATTTTATGTATATGAGCATTTTCTGACCCCCAAAAAAACAAAAATGTTTTGCTGTTTTTGAAACCGGTTTTAATGTGATTAGATTTTCATCAGAATCATATCAAAGTTTTAGTAATCATGACAACTGCAGTTTGATCTCTGAGGAGATTTTCAGGTTGTTTCTCCTCACACACTTAAAGCTGCATGAGGAGAAGCTCCGCCTCCTCTCTGGTCTGAACTCTGCGTTTCACCTTCACTGTTTCTTTCTGCATTGTTTCAAAGTTTCCTCGTTTGTTATTTATCTAAACCTCCTTTTTAAAAAAAAAAAAAAAAAATCCATCTAAACTCCATCAATGCATCAAACTGTTCAAGGAGTCACACTGACGCTTCCCTTTCCCCCCCCCCCCCCTTCTTTTCCGTCCTCCCCCCCCCTGCAGCCGAAACATCAGGACACTTTCTCTCTGGCTCCCCAGCGGCCCCTCACCACCATCAACCCCATCGGCCACTCCCTCCATCCGAACGGAGCGCCCACGTTGAAGCCTTCCCCCGTGCCGCGCACCATCCAGGCCATGCCGTGGGAGCAGCGCTCGCTCTACAATCAATGAGATCACCTGGACCCGGCCACCCCCCCCCCCCCCTCCCCACCTCCACGTCGCGTCCAACCCCACACACCTCCCCCACCCTCAGCAGCGAGGAGGGAGGACTCTGGACGCTCCTCCCCCTCCTCCTCTGGGACGTTGTGTTTGGGCCGGGGGGGGGGCAGGACTAGTTGAGATTGATAACTGAGTAGTTAGGTTTAAAATGTGTTGCCTTGACCCTCCTGTATGATCTATGCCATGTATAAGTTAAAATGTCTGTCCCCTCACTAAGAATTAACCCTCCTCCCCCGCTCTAGTTATGAAATATCTATCCTTCCTCCCCGTTATGAATAGTGTCCCGTCCCCCCATCCCCCCGTCCTCCCTTATTTTCCTTTTTGTTAAATGAAACAAAACGTATTTTTATTAAAGAACCCTTCACGGGTTCAGGGCACCGAACGTAAATGTGACAAAGTCGTCCTTTCAGTCCGATATGTTTCTGAACATAACCCAGATGTTTTGTGGCTTCTGGAAGAAGACGACGATCTTCTTCTTCTTCTGTTTAGTTTTTTTTATGCCCCCCCTCCACCCCTTCCTCCACGTGCTCCAGAATGAAGCTTGTGTATATCGTGTGTTCGGAGGTGTCTTGACTGTTTCAGAAAGCCGTTCTCTCAGCTCACACACACACACACACACACCTGTCTGTGATCTCTGAGCACAGGCAGCACGGACCACCGTCGCTCTGCAGAACTTTTTGAAGCGTCTGTGTTGTGAAGACTGAAGTGCTGCAGTTCCAAACAAAACAAGGACCTCGACAGTGAACGTCTTTTTAACACACAACTGAAAGCTCACTTTTTTTCTAAACACCTGCGCCTGACTGGTGGCTTGTTGTTGTAGTACTAGTAATCTGTTGGCTGGGATTCAAACCGTTTAAAGCTCCTCCCCTTTTTTGTCCCACACTGACTGTTTTGCTCCTCTCACGTTAAAGCACTTTAAGACGAGTGCTGCATAATTATTCCTGTTGCCCCGCCCCCTTTCCCTCCTCCTCCTCTCTGTCTGGAGCTGTTGACCCTTCATCACCCACGCAGCAGCACCAGGACGCGGCTACTTCCGGGCGCCACAGAGGAAGAAATAAAGTCTTTCTGCAGCTCTGAACCTCTTTAACTCCCCGCCAGTGTTGATCCTCCTGTTAGCAAACATCACACACGACGACCACGTTCAGGTCTTTTCCGTACGCAGCCAATAAACCCCCCGAGAAGAAGAAGAAGCGAGTTTTGTAACCGGCCAGCAGCAGCCTAACACGGATCCAGTTTGTAGTTCTGTTACGCTAACACGGTGTTCATGGAGACCCCCACCGTTCTACTGACATTGTATTATCTCTCTTTTTAAAGTTGTTTCTATTTTTATTCATGACATGTTTTCATTGTTGCTTTCTCTCCTTGTAAAGTGTCTTTGAGTATTTAGAAAAGTGCTATACAAATAAAATGTTTTATTATCATCACCATCAGTGATGCTTTCCTTACGGACGGGGGGCGGCCGCTCGCTCGCTCGCACTCCTCCAGAGTTTTGTTTGGTTGAATTCATGAAGAGACCGGATTTTCATTTTACCCGAAAGAAGACGTGTCCTTGAACTCATCGTCAGTTTTACAGTTTCAAGCTGCTGATGGTGCGTTTATTTACGAGCATCATGGACGCCCCCAGTTACGGCTGTTGTTTGGTTAGCTTATACCATAGACTGTACATAAGGCGAACACCTCATGATAACCACAAACTACCTGAGAGTCTGTGGGCCTAATGGTGCATTCACTGGGTGTCGGACACATCGGAAAAATTTGTTTCCAAGTAGAGGAATGCACATGAACGCCTTCTCAATTTACCAAAAACATTAGGTTGCCGACTTGACGCCAGAATCGTCACCACCTGGGGGGCTAAATATGTTTTATTAATGTTAACATACTTATGATTAAGTCACGTGTTGCACATCAACTTTTTTCCTGAAATATATAACTTATAACTGAGACCACCAAGGAGCACATGAACGCAGCAAAAGTAACATGACAACTTATCCACAGAACTTACAGATACTCGTGATTGATTTAATTACACAAAAACATTTCATAAAAAAACAGATTAAATGTTACTGTTGATGCACGGAGTAGCCATGTGTGTCTGACGTATCAGATCAGGAATTGGGATTTACTGTCTTTCGAGATCAAATGAAACGCACCATAATTCTAAAGGGTGAGACAAAGCTGCATTGATAGAGAAGTGATTGCAAACATTATTTTCAACTTCTTAATTTAAAGGTGTCGAGGTTTGCTGCTTTCTCCTGGAGGACTTCTTTCTTTGTTCACGGTTTGAGATGTCACTGATTCAGAGATGTTAAGAAAAACTGAAAAACCTCCAGAAAATGTTATCTCCAAGTGTTAGATAAAAGTTATTCAAGAGAACGAGGTTTAAATGCTTCTTCCAGCTCTTCCTGAAACTTTGACCTCAACATGTTGAGTTTGATATCAAAAGATTGTTTTTCAAGGTATTTCTAAACCAATAATTTCACCTTTGCATGCTAAAGTTCCTCTTTGCATTTTAACCTCGTTCTTTAGACGCTACTGACTGTCTTAGAAGTTTTATAAGCAGTTATTTTTATTCTGAGAATATTCAGCACATGACTCGATAATGAAGGTAATGATTATTTGCCTCCCTAGGAGAGAGAAGCTCAGATAAGAGTTATGAAAAGTGTAGAGCTCTACAGCTGACGAGACTTCCTGCTGATGAAGACTGAAAGATTCAGAGAAAAACTCCAGAACAGGTGAGTCGACTTAAAGGAGCAGTATGTAACTGCCCCCTAGTGTTTAAAATGGGTACTGCAGTCCAAATTCTAAACATCATAGAGAGCTGTCTCCCCCCGCCCCCTCCTCTCTAGAGTCGATGCTCACGCAGGTTGCCATGTGGTGGACTCTGAAGCTTCAGTGTTTAGCCAGCTCTGCATGGGTCTGTAAACCTTTCTGTGTTCTAACCTCTCTCCATTTTTCAAAAGCATCTCCAATATTGATCCTAGTTTGAGCACGTTTCTGCTCGTGGAGCTTATTAGAAACATGCAGAGGCTTTTTAGGTCGGGTACAATCACTTCTATCTGAACCACTTCTCTTGCCCGCTTCCGTCGCTGCAACACCTGTTGACCTGATAACTGCTCTCATATCTGGCAAACCGAGGGGCGTCCAAAATGGCCGTGGGGGTGCCTGAAAACTTCCTACCTTCTCTGGTCCAAACAAATCCAGAGCATTCAGGAGCAGAATCTAAAGTTAGGAGGACATACTGGCTGCTACATTGTTGTCAGAGAAGCCAGCACTTCAACATGTTTCCTTAATGTCTGATCATATAGTAAGATCACTTTATCATTTCACTCACTACACATCTTACTGATTGGACCTTTAAAAAGTTCCAACAATGCCTGAATAAACTTGTTTGCTTGTTAAAAAAAATTGCCACCAGGGGGCGACATGTCCATTTATCTTATTTAGAATAGATCATTTAATCTTTTAATGGAATAGCACAAACATCCACAGGTTCTTCTCAGGTGTTTAACTTTTGTAGTCACTTCTTTCTCTTCTCTTCTGACTAAACCTCCTGGGTTGTTAAGTGACAACAACCTTGTCCCTTGTCCCTTAATCAGACAAGTGTTGACGCCTTCTGATGAACCCTAGCCGAGATGTGAGAGTCACCAATCGGTTTTCACACTCGCAGAAACCTCCTGAATGTGAACACAAACATCTGAATGTTTCTCTCTTCACCCGGAGTTTCTCCTCTAGCCTCCTCGTATTTATTCTGCAGAAAGTCAGAGTGAGCTGATGTGAGAACACAGCAGGATATAATCAGGAGAATTCACCTGGAGCCAGTGGGAGGGAGTGGTGACCTTTACTTCCCCTTCTGACCCCTGGCTCCTGTCCCGCATGCTGTTCCCCTCTCTCTCTCTTTTTGACTCTGTCCCCTCCCTCTAATGAGCCCAAAAAGAAACCTTAAAGAAATAATAAATACTGTGCATATTAAGACAAAAAGAAAACGTTATTGGGTAAAAATATGACTTAATTTCATTCATCACATTTCAGCAAAGAGGCAGCAAAGAGGCATCAAAAGCATCGCAACAAAGGGAAAAAGACGACGCTAAAAGGTATTTTAAAAAGAAAAATTGAAGATGAGACAAGATGAAAAAAACAGGAGCTGAATTAGTGAAAGACAGTTAAAATGGGTGTTAAGATACACCAGGTGAGCTACATTAAAGGTCTTATTGAATATCATTTATTTATTAAAGAAGGCTGCATGGTGGGGGCGCTGGTGGTGCAGTGGTTAGTGCGTCCGCCCATGCATGGAGGCGGCCCGGGCTCACTTCCCACCTGTGGCCTCCTTCCTGCATGTCGTTCCCCACTCTCTCTCCCTGATTTCCGACTCTATCCACTGTCCTATCTATCCATTAAAGGCCCAAAACTAAAGCCCTAGCCCTGGTTTTAAAATGGTGAAGCCCCATGCTTGTTGTTTGAGTAAATTTGACCTCATCTGGTTATCATGACATCGCACCTTATGTATATATTTATTTATATTTACTTTTAAAATCTTCATTGAAGGTTTATCAGAAAGTAAACAAAGAGAAACATAGAACAGAACAGTGAGGGGATTGAATGTTGAGGTTACACAAAAATATTAATTCAGAAAATGAATCACCTTTTTGTCCACAGATTTATCTTAAAGTTTTATAAATGATCTTTAAGATAAACATAAATTTACTAAATGTATGGAAGAGTTTAGCTTGTACAATAAATAAATGTTTGTCCTCTTTTTTTTTTTGGTCTTTGGAAACAGTTTATGAAAACAGTTTGTGTCTCTTAAATTTCATGACACGTTTTTATAATTATTTAATTAACTTGACGATTCTCACTGACGTCATCACGGGTCGTCATTTTGATCCCCTACAATCACAATAACTTAATCTTTAAGTTTATAAACACGTGTGTCTGCTGTTGTGTTTGTCAGATATTTAAGAAATGATGGATTGATTAATTTAGACGTCATAGGGACACTTAATCTACGTTAAGTGACGTCACGCGTTGTTATGTTCACCTGAAAGTCCTCACCTGTCAGTCTAAACTCTCAGTTGGTGCACGACGTCATCGAGCTGCGTGCACGTGGCGGGAACGCGCACCATCATTCAACTCTTTATTAAATAAATGAGCCGATCGCGCGCCACTTTGGAGGTCCGATTAACGACTGTGACGTAGTCCGCGACTCGAGACTCCAATGCGGATTGTAATGAATTCACGTCAGCTCGTCGGTGGGCGGAGCGATTAATCGGTATCAGTCGCGGTTATTGATTAAAAATCATTCATGTGTTCTTCGGTCAGGCTCCAATTGGGCCTAAACGGATCCGGACCCGGAGGTAACCCGGATTCAACCCGCGAGGCTGTTCGTGAACGCGCTCTCTTAATCTCGTGCTTTGTTTCTATTTCTGACGTTAATAATATTTATATTAATCACATTAATTAGTAACAGCTGTCTCCTTTATGAGACAAACCGGAAACTAGATTTGTTTGTCGAAATCAGAACACAAATGCAGCTTTTCTTTGTTTCAAAATAAAACCAACAAATTATCCCAAAATATTAAAATATAAAATACTTTTAAGTGATAAATGTTTTACTAGTTAATTTGTATAAAGTTTACACTAACAGACATGAGGTAAAGAGTTCTTCAAAAAAGTACGTTTATCTGTTTTAAACAGGAGTACAAATATTTCTGAAAATATCTACTGAATTAAAACGATTTAATTTTGTTTTGTCTGATTTAATTATTGATTATTTTTCTCCTCTGCAGGCCTACCAGCTCAAGGCCCCGGCTTCCCTCTGCTGAAGGCCCGGATGTAGTACCCCCTCTCGGCCGCGTGGTGGCGGTAGCGCCCCGAACTGCGAATGAGACGTAACGAGAGCATTTTATAACCGTTACTTTGTTCTTCATTTAACCACAAACAGTCAAAAACGAATTTAGTTAAGATTAATTAAGATTAATTTAATTTATGCGAGTTAATCCGTTTAAACGACAGATTTCTAACTCAAAGTTTTCAAACGTAAACCTTGTAAAACGGGATTTTTATCCTGCTAACGATCATTAATTAAAGTAAGGCTGTAGAGCGGAAGTTGATTGTTTATTTAACGCTCCATGTTAACTTCCGGCATACTTTTTCACCTTTCTGTCCGTTTTCGGGACCTAAATCTCGGTCTCATCCTTCCTACTTTCATTGGAAGTTTAAAAACAAGTTGCATAAGAGCGAAATGTCTCTAAAAAAAAATCGTGTTAGAAACTCGCGTTGTTTTCGTTAAAGTTCGTTAAGTCTCGCGCGTTTCAGGTGGAACTTTTAGTAAATAAAAAAGTGGATAAAACACGTTTTATTGTTTTGATTCTCATCACACACTCACACACACACTCTCTCTCTCTCTCTCCATTTTGTGAGCTCTGGCT